TCACACCCACACGGGCAGCCGCTGGAGGAGGCTGTGAAAATCCACTCTCACCTGGAGCCTGGGGGACGGGGAGCGGGGAACGGGGGTGAGGGCTCTGCCAGACACAGAGATGTGGGCACTTGGCCTTTGGAAGCAAATGTAGGGCTGGGACTGTGGGAGCAGGGAGAGGGGTGGCAACGTGTGTTTGGAGGGGACTCGGTGACAGCATGCATGGTGATTGTAATCCCCAGAGCAGCCGTGAACTGAGTATTCAGATCCGCCTGTCTCAGACTGGACACACAGTCACTAGCTTAACCTTCCCAGCCACCCCGCTAGGTACCTTCCTGTGCAAATGCGGAAGTACAGCTCAGAGAGGCTCCGTAACCTGCACAGCATCACACCGCTGGTGGCCCGCGGTCAGCCTGGGTTAGGAATGCAGAGCCCTTGCTCTTAGCCTGTATTCCATCCTGACCTCTCACCCGGGGATGGCATGTGCCTCGGAGATGATCGCCGAGGGGCCCCAGGAAGCCTCCTGGCTAATGGGCAGCAGCCATCGTCAGCTTGAATGTGGCCAACGCTGATGGCAGCGGCGCCCCCGTGTGACATGCAATGGGATGGCCAATGGGCCACTGAGGAACGGCCCCTGAAAGTCACTGCAATGTCACCTTCGGCCGGTGACGCCCGACAGCTGGGAGCCGGAGGGCCAGGGAGCTGGGCATCACATGTGGCACCTCTCAGAGGACGTGTGGCACCCCTCAGGACAGAGCAGCTCAGACGGACCTGGGAAAAAGGGAGACCACGTGGCTGTTAGGCTCTGTCATGACCCTCAGGAGCCACAGCCTCATCTCCAGAGCCTGGCATAGGTTCCTCCATGGCGACAGGGGCTTTGTGCATGTGATTCCGTGCAGGGTCTGGGACGGGTGAGATCCAGACCAGCCAGGGCCGTGCCATCGCAGGTGCTTACGACAGGGAGGAGGCGGGCGCAGACTCTCAGGGGGATGTGGAGACGGGAGCGACTGGAAGATGCGGTGCTGAGGGCTGTGAGGGTGGAGAAGGGGCTCCAGCCGCCACGTGCTGGCGGCCTGGTGACGCTGGGAAAGGGAAGGAAGCTGACTGTTGCTGGAGCCTCCAGGAGGGACACAGCCCTGCGAGGACTGCGACCTCGGAGGGTAAAGCTGTCAGAGGGTGAAGCTGTGCTGTGTTAAGCCACTGAGTTTGTGTGATTTGCTAAGACACCTGCCCAGTTCCCAGGGGGATCCCTCTGCCACCCAGCCCCCTCTCCGACCATGAGGGTGCATGAGCCAGACAGAGGTCAGAAGGATGGCTCCTGCCTGGGAGCAAATGCCTTCGTTGGCAAAGGTTTCAGACATGTTCTGAGTTGCTCCCTAATATTTTTCTCTTGTGTGTGTGTAAGTATGTGAGTGTAAGTGTGTGAGTATGTGTGTGTGAGTGTGTGGATTGTGTCTGTGTGAGTGTCTGTGTGAGTGTGTGTGAGTATGAATGTGTGTATGTGTGTGTATGTGAGTGTATGTGAGTGTGTCTGTGTATGAGTGTGTATGTGTATGTATGTGTGTGTGAGTGTGTCTGTGTGTGTGTGAGTGAGTGTGTGTGATGTCTGTGTGAACGTATGTCTGTGTGAGTGTGTGTGAACATGTGTGTGAGTGTATGTGAGTGTGTGTGTGAATGTGTGAGTGTGTGTCTGTCTGAGTGTGTGTGTGTGTGTGTGTGTGTGAGTATGAATGTGTGTATGTGTGTGTATGTGAGTGTATGTGAGTGTGTCTGTGTATGAGTGTGTGTGTGTGTGTGTGTGTGAGTGTGTGATGTCTGTGTGAACGTATGTCTGTGTGAATGTGTGTGAGCGTGTGTGTGAGTGTATGTGAGTGTATGTGAGTGTGTGTGTGAATGTGTGAGTGTGTATCTGTCTGTGTGAGTGTGTGTCTGTGTCTGTGTGTGTGTGTGTGTGTGTGTAATACACATGCCCATGTACGGACTGTCTAGTAGAGCTGATACCCACTCAGGGTGCCCAGCCCAGAAGCCTGCAAACCTAGATACTTACCCTAGTCCGCCCCAGCTTTCAGTAGATCTAGGAAGTTACTAACCTTCTCCGAGCCTCAGTTCTCCCATCTGTTCGAGGGATGGGACAGAGGCCCCAGTCTCCTGGCATTCTGACCCCTCCTCTCCTGTCCCCACCCAGGCCCGCCCTGTGGGAGTGGGTGTCAGGGCTCATGGAGAGCCACCACATCCGGAGCCCAAAGCCCTTTCAGGGAGGTCCCATGGACCCCCAGCTCCGGACCCAGGGACCACAGCCTGCCTGTTCTCTGCTGCCCCCTGCTGGCACTCAAAAAACAAAGGCTCCCAGCCAGATCCCTTGGAAGTGGCTGAAAGGGACCCTCAGGAGATGCCCCTGCAACCACCTGCAGCCACCTGCCAGACCTAGCCAGCCAGGACCTCCTGGAGGCTGCTGTCAGGGCCCCAAGCGGCCAGTGCAGCGGCCGGATGGAGGCTGCCTGCCCTGGGCCCTGGTCTGCTCCCCCCACTCCTGCCTTCACCTCCCTGCTCTAGGAAATGGGGGAAAGTGGGGAATAAAATATCATGGCTTCTGAAAAAGTGGTGCTCTTGTCCCATTCTCTACCTTTGGGTAATGGAAGCAATGTGAGGTGTCCCTGTTCTCTCTCTCTCTCTCTCTCTCTCTCTCTCTCTCTCTCATGAATTTATACACTAGAAAGTAAGAAGCATGCTGGACACGGCAGAAATGACCAGTGAGAAGCCTGCTGACCAGGCTCGAGGAGGGCTGCCCCGGGAAGCGCAGAGCCACCGTGGTTCAGAGGCTGCGTACACTGGAAAGGGGGTCAGGTCAGCGGGGGTTGCTCCGTGTCCACCGCACAGACAGACGACAATAGGAATGCTGGGCCCGTGAGGCTGGGGGAAGCTACCGGGAAAGTCATGAACCAAAATGTGGCTGATAGAAGGCATTCCTAGGGCTTTTTCCATAGAAATGTCCCCAACGACTGCACAGGTGACAGGAGTACCTGAGGAGGCTTTGAAACATGCCCCTCATTTGCTCACAAATGCCCTGGGGCATTGGGAGCTGAGGCTTGCCCACAGGGTGCATTGGGCAGGACCAAGCAGGGCCCAGGGACATATTCAGGCATCAGTCCTGCTGGGGGACCACAGATGAAGGGAGATCCCTGCTGTCCCCAGAATAGGGGACTAGTCAGTGGAAGCGGGAAGTCTGCAGGCCATAGCTCCTGGTCCTGGATAATGCCCCTTGCCAGCCTCCTTATCTCTTTCCCAGACCTGGTTAAGCCATCCAGGCCTCTCTCCCAGGCCAGTTAGGAGCAGGGGACAGTCCTCTGCTGCCCCCTGCTGGCCACTCCAAGCAAAGGCCCCCCCAGGACAATCTTCCTGCTCCTGTCCCCTTCCTGTGGCCACCTCTAAAGCCGCCCCTGGTTCTCTCTCAGTACACCTGGCCACCCCATTAGACACCGAGCCTGAATCAACCACAGGTTAGTCCTCTCTCCTCCCTAGTGGGAGGACTTAAACCTCAAAAGCCAGGAGAAGAGAAAAATCAAAACACCCCTCAGTTCCAATCTCTGCTGCTACTTCTGATGCCAAGAATATCCTCCATCTGTGTCAGGGGTGGTGGACTTGGACCCACAGGAAAGCAAACGCAGTCACGGCGCCACTGGGCCCGGTGGGGAGACAGCCTGGCTGGCGTTCCGTGAAGATGCTGTTTATCAGTTTTCAAGGCTGAGAGCCAACCTTTGGACGCGGCACGGAAGGCTGAGGTCTGGTTACAGGCAGAGCACAGATGCTAACAACCGGAGGATGGAAATGCAAAGGTGCATTCGATTGTTCGGTGGGAGGACATGGGAAATGGGAGAAGAGTCCCAGGGGCTGCACCCTCCACCTATACAGGGGTGGGCAAAAATACACTTGCAGTTGTGAGTACAAGAAGCACAGCTTATTCTTGTCTTGTTATTGTTGATTATTATATTACTAGTGGCCCCATGCACAAAATTTGTCCATGGGGGGGGGGCACCTTAGCCCCGCCTACACCCTCTCCAATCGGAGACCACTTGGGGGTTGTCTGACTGCTGGTTTAGACCCAATCCCACAGGGCAGCCAGACATCCCTCTCTCAATCTGAAACTGCTGGCTCCTAACCACTCACCTGCCTGCCTGCCTGATCACTCCTAACTGCCTCTGCCTGCATGCCTGATTGGCCCTAATACGTCTGCCTGTTTCCTGATCACCCCCAATCTCTGTCTGTCTGCCTGCCTGCCTGCCTGCCTGATTGCCCCTAACTGCCCTCCCCTGCCTGCCTGATAGCCCCTAACTGCCTCTGCCTTGACTCCCCACCACGATGGCTTTGTCTGGAAGGAAGTCGGACATCTGGTTTAATTAGCATACTACCCTTTTATTAGTATAGATGTGTTTGTATTGTTGCCATGTGAAGGACCGTAAACCTACTTTTGCCCACCCTTGTACAGAAGAGAGTCAATGGGCTTCAACAGAGAGTTCTAGAGGAAGTGGATACAATTACAAGAGTAACCAAGCAAAGAACCAAAAACATCATCACTATCCAAAACTGGGAAAACGGGGGAGGAAGGGATGAGAAAGCATCAAAGCATTGAATTCTTATTTTCCAGTGACCTGGGGTAAAAGCACGGGTGGAGAAACTGTGACTTCAACACTATTTGGCGATAGAGAGAACTGCCAAAAGAGGAAAATCCAGAGTCAAACTGCTGGTTCTGGGCTTAGAAATAAGAAGCTTCACTTTTATTCATAGACGCTTTGGGGCTTTTGTTTTTACCAGGGGTCTGTACTAAATGGGTTTTAAGTTGTAATTTTAAACTGTAAAATGTGACACCAAAACATTGGCCAGCGGAACCAGAAATGGCCAGGCCATGTGCTGGCTGCCCTGTTCCCGGCTGCCCGGTGGGCACAGGGGGGTCAGTGTGGTGGGGGGTGCTCTGCTGGAAGGCAGGATGGGAGACACCCCTCCTGCAGGCGCCCGCCCTAGCCCAGCATGTGCCGGCAGCGCAGCCGCTCCTCCTCCCGCTTCTCCTCCAGGCGGCTCTCCAGCAGCCTCAGCTCCCTGCGCACCGCCTTCCGCATGGCCGGCTCCAGCTCCAGCACCTTCTCCAGGTCTGCCTTGGCCTCGGCCTCATTCCACACCTCGGCGTGGGCCCGGGCCCGCACGTAGTAGGCCTTCACGATGCCTGCAGGAACGATAGAACTGCACCTGCCACCCAGGCCCGGGGGCAGCCCCCCCCCCCCTTGGTCCTTTGGCCAGCTTACAACACCCTTCACCTTGACCGGGACCCATCACTTCTCCTTACAGGAGCCCATGTCCTTGACTGTAAAATGGGGGTGATAATGACTCCCCACCTTGGTGCAGACCCTTCCGGGGCCTCATCACTAACTTTATGCTCATCCACATCCATCATGTTCCTTGTAGAGGCTCCCCAAACGGTGCACGCTGCAGGCCCTGCCCCTGCACCCATCCCGGATGGCTGTGACACGGCGAATGGCGTGAGGAAGGCGGAGGACTGAGTGCCTGGCGCACAGTGAGGGTCTGATCTGTTCCTACGAGTTCAGACGCCATCAGCACATACACACGGTGGTGCTGACGCGCCTGTGAGCCCAGCACCGTGTCCCCGTCACCGCGTGCTCTCTACGGAGGGCCCTTCCTCAAACGCCTGCCGACGCTCCACACAATCACATGTGTAAGGTGACAGGACGTCCCGCGTTTGGCGGGACAGTCCCGATTTTTAACAATTTGTCCCGCGTCCTGTGGCGTTTTAACACGGGATGTGGGACAAATTGTTAAAAAAAAAAAAAAAAAAAAAATCAGGACTGTCCCGCCAAAAGCGTATGGTCTGGTCACCTTATGCTTGTGCCTCTGTCCTGGTGCACATTCAAGTGAAACGCCTGTGCGATGAGCTCTGCTCACCCATCCCCCGTGGCAGGCGCCCAGGCGGGGACGGCTGGGTGGTGACTGGCCCGCCCCGCCCGCCCGCCAGCCCGCACCCACCCACCGGGGTGGTGCCGCAGGATGTCGCTGGTGTGCTCCAGCACCTCGTAGTACTCTGCCCTCTTCAGCAGGCACTGGCAGTAGTTGAGGATGAGGGTGTTGATCATCTTCTCCAGCTTCAGCCACGGAGCCTCCCAGGGCTTCTCCTGCCAGTGGAGACGGGGCTGCCGTGAGCTGAGGCTGCTGCGTGACCCCCCTGCCAGTGGCCCTGGCCAGAAGGGGGCCGCTGGCTCAGCCCCAGGGGCATGGCGGGCAGCCCCACCTTGGCCTGCAGGTTCCTCAGGCAGACGATGGCTTCCTGGTACTTGGTGGCGGCCTCCTCGTGGCGGCCCAGCTTGAAGAGCCGGTTTCCCTCTCCGTGAAGGATGGGCACCGCCTGCATCCTCTCGGCGTTGCTCAGGTTCCAGGTCTCCCTCTGGTACTCGCTGGGGGCCTCCACCTGGCCCGAGAGCCGCAGGTGAGCCCGGGGGGCCCGGGCCTGCGCCCTGGCAGGTAGGGACTCAGCCCACTCGCCGAAGTCAGCTCCACACTGGCCACAGGGAGGTCCCCGGGGAAACCCTGCTTGCTGGTCTCACACACACACACACACACACACACACACACACAGGGAAACCCTGCTCGCTGATCACACACACACACACACACACACACACACTCACGGAAACCCTGCTCGCTGATCTCACACATACACACACACACACACACACACACACACACACAGAGGGAAACCCTGCTCGCTGATCACACACACACACACACACACACACACACACACACGCGCGGAGGAAGCCACGGCCCAGGGCCCATCCTCTCTGGCCCTCCCGTACCATCAGGCACAGGCACCTGCCAGTCAACAACTTCCCTCCCATTGTCCAGAAGCTGCCATAACACGCCCGCCCCTAGCACAAGGCCGTATTGCCCTCTGCTGGGGACGGTGACTATGAAGGTACAGCCATGCGATGCCGGCTGAGCCCCTCAGAGGCGCTGCCCTGTGCGAGGTGCACACCAAGGCACGGTTCACACAGGCCCCGTGTATTCCTGAGGGTCCCAGGCTGAGCCTCAGCCTTGGCATAAGCCCAGTCCTGCCGGGCGTGGCCCTGTCCCACCTCCATAATCTGCCCTGTCAGTCACTCAGGAGCAGGTTCTGAACCCGCAGCCCGCAGGGACTGGGATGAGGCTGGAATCTAACTCTGAAGACAAAACTGGAAGCTGAGAACCAATAGGAGGAAAATGTCTCCGAGTGAAAACAGAAGACATTTTTAAAAATTGGTGCGGAACGGGCTTTTCCCTGGAAAAGGCCACGGACCTTTGGGGTGGGGGGGGAGTCTCCTGCGGTTTATGAGCCCTTTCCGGGTGAGGGCCGGGACTGGTGCATGGGGCTCCCAGATGCCCACCACCCCATTGCTGTCTGATGCAGGGACAGCGCCCCCCATCCCCCCGCCCCTGCCCCGCAGCTGCACCTGCAGCAGCTCGATCACGAAGAGCAGAGGCTGCGGCTCCTTCTGCAGCTCGTCCAGGTCCGCGTAGCCCAGTGTGTGGTAGGCGAACATGTTGGCCAGCCCGCACGTGTGCACGTGCCACTCGGTGGGGTCCTTGCCCTCCGCCATCTGCCGCAGGCTCCGGGACAGAATGGGGTAGACGCCCGTGTGCTGGGGGGGAGAGGGCGGATGGCATCGGGCTTCTGCCCAGCCGGGCCTCACACAGCCCACTCCCAGCAGCTTTCATGTATCTACAAAATGCCTTTGCTGGGGGCATTAATCCATATAAGACACCAAGCAGCCATATCCCACCGCCCCCCTACCCCTGCCCCAACACCCCCCCCCAAATAGCTGCGGTACCTGCGGGGCAAAGTACCCCCCTCTGCTAGCTCCTTCCTTTCTTAAAATGACTAGCAAAGGAGGCGCCACTAGGACCCCCTTGGCAGATGAGGAAACCGGAGCCCAGGGAGACTAAGCGACTTGCTAAGGTCGCACAGCGAGGAAAGGTCCGAGCCGGGACCAAACCCAGCTCCAGAGGCTGCGCCCCAGCCATGGTGCCATGGGGTCCCTGGGTGGCCCTTGTCCTCATGCTAACGACTTTCCCTCCCCAGGAGGCCCTGAGCCCACTGAGCCGGGGGATCGGGGAGAGGAGTGATGAGAACAGCGGAGGCTCTGGCTCCCAGAAGAGGCTGGCTTCCTGGCCTGGCTCTGATTAGCCCAGGTCGCCCTCCGAGCTCCAGACCCCCAGGCTGTACGTGTCCGGTAGCAGGGCAGTTGCAGGGTCCAGTGAGATAATGAGGGTATGGGCCCAGCTCCCCACAGCCTCAGCCAGCCCGGGGAGCTGGGACTGCCACCCTGAGTCACAAGCCTGGGAAAGCCAGCCTCTTGGCCTCAGAGGGGCCTGTGCCGTGAGGGGCCTCAGCTGCTCTTCCCCCGTACCCTAGCCACCCCACCCCCACCCCGGCATTGGAAAGCCCCTCAGGACGGTGTCTGAGAGCCCTGCTCCCCGGGCTGGGTCCTGACAAGGTCCCTGTCAGGCTCCACATGGCGGCTCCAGGAAAGACACACTATTGGGAAATCACCAGCATGAGGATGAAGGTCATCCCCTCCCTGCCCCCGCCCGCCAGCTGGGATCAGCCCCGAATGCCCTGGCTTCTCCATGAGAGAGGTGACCCCATGGCGTGTAAGCCTTTGGGATTAGGGTTGGAAGGCAGGGGGGAGGGGCCCAGGATCAGCTTCCTACAGGGAGGAGGTGCTCCAGCCCCGACACAGATGCCCCAGCTCACGGGCCCCTGCTTCCAGCAAGCCAACTGCAAGCTGTGGGCCCCAAGGTCAGGTGGCAGGTTGGCCATGACCTCAAAGGCCTTGTCCCTCTGGACACCTGCTGTCTGGGCACTGCCAGGGTCTGGCGGGCACAGTGGCTGTGGGATGCCACTGGGAGTGGCATAGCGTCTCAGAAAGGAAGGTAAGGGCCAGAGAAGGGGCAGGGCTCCAGAATCCCACCCCCACGCGGGCAACACCTCAGAGGGAGGAAGGAGGGAGGGGGTCCCGGCTCTGTGCCCCAACACTGCAACCAGAGCTCAATGTCACCTTCTTAAAGAAGTTCCCCGAAACCCCGAAGCAGTCAGCTGCCCCTCTCCTGTGGCCCTAAAGCACGCTGCCCTTGCTGAGTTGTGCCATGGCACTGGCTGCCCTGCCCTGCGTGTGCTTAGGTGCCTGCTCCTCCTCCAGAATTCAAGTTCCCTGAAGGCCAGGGACTTGGCCTGCTGTGTTCCTAACACCCACATCCCCCCAGCCAGCCACAATACTGTCACTTCAGGGGCTTGTTCCTAATCCATCTCCGACTTCCCAGGGGCAGGGAGTGCTTGCTGTTTTAGCCCCACCCTCCTGAACCCACAGCCCCGAAGCACACACAGCAATCAGCCCGGGTCCGGGCAGCCGGCACTCACGATGGCGTCACACCAGAACTCGGCCACCTCGCGGACCCGCATGGACGTCAGCAGGAGCTCCCAGACCTCCAGCTTGAACATGTTCCCAATGATGAGGTGCATGGGCTGCCCCGCCCGCTTGCTGTCGTCGACCACCGTCCGCTCCCCGTCGCATTTCATGGTGCGGAAATGGAAGGTCACCTGGTCCCCGAGAGCGTGGACCCTGGGCTAGACACACCTCCCGAGCCCAGCAGGAGCCAGCCCTCTGTCACCGACCCTCAGGGTCAGCTCCCAGCTCCAGTCAGATGCCTCAGCCCCCACCCCTCAGAGTATCCCCACCCGCCTGCACTCCCCCGGGATGAGGAACCCCCTCCCCCCTAAATGGCCCTCGTCCCACTCCTGACAGCTCTGTGGGTCAGGATGTCCTTCCTTAAGTCAACCCTAGGTCTGAGGCCACACACACAGCCCATCGCCCAGGGAAGCCCACCAAGACGTGTGGCCAAACACCACCACCCCTGAGAGCCCCTCCTTCTCGCTCAGCATCTGGGGTTCCAGGAAATTCCCAAAGCCCCTCCCCATCCCATGCCGTGGTTTAATTTGCAAAGTACCCACCATGCCCAGTGAACAGACACCAGCTCAGAGGCCTCAGGGTTGACAATCTCAGGAAGGATTTTTGGCAAAGCTGAAACCTGTCTGCAGTGCCGTGCGGCCAGCAGGCTGCAGAGGCTGCCCTGGGCAGGGGGTTGGGAGGGGGAGTTGGAGGAGGGAGGAGGACGGGCCCCACTCACCCGAGACCCGGTCATGAAGTTTGGGAGCTCCCCCAGGCCCCCGTGCAGGATGGTCTTCTTGACGCCTTCCACGTTCAGGAGCAGAGCGGCATCCATGGCTGTGGGAGCTGTCCAGCCCAGGCTGAGCTAATCCCTCTGAGGGAAGGAGCTCAGGCTAAAACGGGGATTTGCCCTGGGGGTGGGGGTGCGAATTAGCGGAGTGGGGCGGGGTTGTGCCCCATGCTGGCTCCAGGCTGCTCCCCCAGGCCACTCCCTGGCAACCCAGCCTTCTGCCCCATCCATCCATCCCCTGCTCCTCTCCGGGATGGGAGCTCCAGCCTAACAGACCTTATTGCATCAGCTTTGGTTTTGTCCCAGGTCAAGAAGAGAGGAAGTGTGCTGGAGCCTTCTTAAAGGACTTGTATGCATGCATATAAGCCGAACCAGTGGTCACGGACAACAGGGAGTTCGGAGAATGCGTGGGGAAGGGTTTGGGATGGGAATGGGGGGATGAGGACAATTATGTGATACCTTAATCAATAAAGAAATTTTTTAAAAAAGACAGCATTGAGGGAGCCAGCAGCAGGGAGAAAAGGAGAAAAAGAGAGACTGATCCAAAGCCCCTCACCCTGCCTGGTCCCTGGCGTTGGCCCTAGTGTCAGATTCTTAGTCTCTTTGAAGCCCAGGCCAGGCCCTGAGGACTGTGTGGTCCCTGCTTTCCCTCTTCCCATTTCTTCCTCCTCTTCTCCCCAAACTCTGTCCACCCACAGAGAAGGTGACATTGTGGAGGGAGAGGATTGGCAGGTTTCTAGTTTGGGAGAACACTAACACGGAGTATGAAAAGCAGAGCAGGCTCTTGGATAAATTTGAGGGGCCCGCCCCAGTCCCATTCCAGCCTCTCCTACAATGTCTGGCTGGGGGCAGCGGGGCTCCCTCCTCCTTTATGGGGATGGAATCCGCAGAGCTTATTCAGGGTATTATGGATCCCCTTTCTGGTCTAACGTGAAAAATCATGTGTAGAGTTGTTGTTTGGCGCCACCTTGTGGCAGATTTAATTTTTTTTTTTTTTTTTTTTTTTTTTTTTTACCTGGTCTTGCCAAGGTCCTGAGGGTGATGAGGATTCTTCCCAGGCACCACAAAGCCTTCCTCTCCTGTCCCCTGGCTGACGTGTATCCTGGAGATGGAACCAAACCTGCCACGGGGAGAGGTGGGAATGCCGCCGGAGGAGCCAGGCAGAGCCGGGTGCAAAGGGCTGACCTTTGTCTCTATTCCTAACTCCATCTTCCCAACTGAACCGGGAAAGCACTCTTCCTGCCTCCCTCTCCTGGAAGCTGAGAGGCCTCCCTTGAGCAGTGAATGGAACCCCGAAACCCAGCACCCCTAAAAGTCTCCCATAGCGGCTGGCCTAGAGGAAGCCCAGCCGGGGCAGCAAGCCAGACCCCTCCCGGCTCCCCAGTGCTCAGACCCCACAGAAGATCCCATTGGAGACACTGTGTCGAAGTGTTTCACATTCACTAGTGTTTCCCACACTTTCTGCTTAGTTTTCCTAAAAATAATAACTCCTGCTTTTCTCCCCTCAAGTTTCATTGATAAAGGATATGAATTAAATTCCCCAGTTACAATGACAAACACTAGTGGCATAAACAGGCTTGGGAACAAATACTTCTGAGGCCGGAAGACAACTCAACCAGGGAACAAGGCAAATCGGCGGGCAGGAGCAGTGACCGTTGTAAAATCACTGTGGTGAGCTGTCACTGGCCTTTTCAACAATGAAATAGATAAAATATCAAAGGACAGCACAATGGCAAGTAGTGCTTCAGGAAAAGTTTCAGTTGCCTATGTGTGTGTGAGCTACATATTGGTCTCCTTGAACATGATATTCCCTATGCAAGAAGACACTCACAGAGACACACACACTCAAACACATACATTCTTTGCTTGGTTGACTCATTCTCTAAGTCTCAGCTTTAAATGATATATTTTTGTCATAATTTTGTTTGATTAATTGATTGTTGAGAACTTGATTCGTTAATGTCCATCACACCCCAAATATTAGATGTGAGGTCCATTAAGGTAAGGATGCATCTGTTTCACTGACTTTGTGGCTCTTTATATATACTACAGGCCCAGTGCATGAAATTCATGTATGGGTAGGGTCCTTATACCTGGCTGGCGATCAGGGCCGATCTGTGGGGTGACCAGTGGGGCAATGAGCGGGGGGAGGTGGGGGCTCTGCTGGCACCCACTGTGGCTGGCCTGGTGCCACCCACTCACCAGCCCTGCCCCCTGCCACCACCACTGGTCACCTCCTTCCCTCTGTGGGGCAAGTGGGGAGGCGATTGGGGGGGCACCCACCTTGGCTGGCATGGAGTCTTCAGGCTGGGAGAAGCTCCTGTTCTGCAGTTGTTCTGCCAGTCACTCCACTGTTTGGTCAATTTGCATATTAGGCTTTTATTATATAGGATTAGAGGCCCAGTGCATGAAAATTCATGCACTGGAGAGGGGGCTCCCTCAGCCCTGCCTTCCCCCTCTCACAGTCTGGGAGGCCTCAGAGGTGGGAGGCAACTCGGCGATCAGGGGAAGGTGATGCCCCATCACACCTCTGCTGCTGCCACAGCCAGCAGTGCCAGTCTCGGCCAGCCCTGGTTACCTGGGCAGCAGCCATCTGAGACTTGCCTGTGCCTCACCCTGGCCCTGGGTGGCTGGGGGGCTGAGGGGACTGGGGGACTCTGGAGGTAGGCATGCCAGCTGGACTGAGGGGACTGGATTGAATGGAAATCTTTGAGGGCGTGGAATTCAGCATATTCCCTCCTTATTGGCTGTGGGCACTGCCATCTTTTGTGATGGTGTGAGGGACAATTAGCATATTTCCTCTTTATTAGATAGGACTAGTGGCCTGATACACAGATTTGTGCACATTGAAAGGAAATTAATTAGAAGAAAGAGCTTCATAGCGAGAGCTTATATGTGAGTCCACATTTATTTTTCAATTGCCAGTGCATGTCATATGTACTTGCCAGGGTTGGTAGGTCAGATGGTCAGACAGACGGACAGTTGGTCACTTAGCCTTTTATATATATAGTTATTTTTTTTAATGGATTTTTAGAGAGAGGGAGAAACATTGGTATGAGAACAGAACATTGATTGACTGCCTCCTGCACACCACCTGCCAGGAATCAAGCCCACAAACTGGGCATATGCTCTGACCTGGAATCAAACCAGCAACCTTTCAGTTCCCAGGAAAACGCCCAACCAACTGAGCCACACCAGCCATGGTGGTGGCCCATTTTCAGCACAGCGTTCAATCACTCAGACACCAGTAGGTGTTTGGAAAGACACTAAGGAAGGGACATGGGGATGGAGGAGGGGCTGGGAGAGACAGGGTGATGTTTGTTTGAGGTGGAGGGGTGGTTTGAGGTGCCTCAGTGCCCAGGAGTTGGGATCCAGGAGGTGGTGAGATTCTCCTGTCTGAGAGAGGTGCGGGTGAGAAGAGGCAGTGTGGTGAGGCAGTGAGGCGCATGGACCCTGGCCCCTGACTGGCAGAGCTTGTATCTGGACCCTGCTGCATACTAACTGAGGGACAGAGGGAACCAGCCTCCCCTCTCCTCTGGCTGATCATCTGGTCACAGGCTGCAAGGAGGGTCAAATGGGTTCATAACGGAAAGTGCTAGGAACACAGGGGCTTGGTGCACAGCAAGTGCCCCATATGTGTTCATGGTTCTCACGATTCCATTGCGGGGCAGGGCGGGGGTGGGGTGGGCAGAGAGATAACTGAGGCCAGAGAAGTGGGTGTGATCACCCAGAGATGAAGATGAGGCTAGGGACAGACCTTCCGGGAGCCCACCAGCAAGAGCGTGGCCACAGGGGTGAGGAGTGGGAGGGAGGCCCGGTGAAGGCGGCGGCTAGGAACCCCAGGGGTGGAGTGGCCAGTGCGGCTTTGGGGTCCCCTTTAAAGGGAGGGAGGAAGGGCTTTCTAAATGCCATATTTTCGCTGGTTTGGACGCTAAGGGCAGGCAGGGAGGCATTCACCTGGGGAGGGGGAAGGGGTCGGTGAGCTGGGGTGGAGGGTGCTTAACTGGAGGCGGAGCGGCGGTGCACGCCCAATGGTCCCCTTTCCAGGACGGGTTGTGGGGGCCGAATGTGGACGGCGAGTATGGGGAACACAGAAGCCCAGAGGGTCGGGGCGTTTGAAACAAAACCTCCACGGGAACTCTAGGTGACAAAACCCCGGGACCCTCCAGGCGGAACGGGAAAGGAGCTGGGAGCCCGGGAGCCGCCCCGCCCAGTAAGACCAGCGGGAACACCCAGCGGCGGCGGCGGGAGGAGGGGCCGCTGCCCCGGGCCTGGGCGGGACCTGCCCGCACAAAGGGGCCGGTACACGCGGCTCCCAGCCCGCGGGGGTCCCGGGATGAATGGGGACGACCCGGCAAATCTGAAAGCCGGGCTCGCGGCCGCGAGAGCCAAGAGCCAATAGGATCACCCCGGCGCGACAGCGAGGCGGGGACGGGGCCAATCAGCTGCGAGGACGGGCGGGGGGGCGGATCCGCGCCGAGTTTCAAATCGCTGGGGTGGGCGAGGCGCATCTGAGCCCGGCATCTCGCAGGGGTGGGAGCTTTGGGGTGAGCACCTCGCAGGCTGGGAGCTTTGGGGTGAGCACCTCGCAGGCTGGGAGCTTTGGGGTGAGCACCTCGCAGGCTGGGAGCTTTGGGGTGAGCATCTCGCAGGCAGGGAGCTTTGGGGTGAGTGCAAGCCGGGGGGTGGTGGGGCTTCTATTCAGAACAGACCAGAGGCGATGGGGTGAGGGGGTGTCTAGTTAGGACCGGCATGCATGTGGGGCACCTGGGGGTTGCAGGGTGGAAATCGGGGGCTCTGGCCAGGCGTCCAGGGTCTGGGTGGGAGCTCGCTGGGTCAGGGCGGGTTGTGGGAAGCGCTGATCGGTCGCTGGGCCCCTTGCTGAGGCTCAAGGAGGACTCTGCCTCCCTCCCCGGCTGGGGCTGGGATTAAAAAAACAAACAAACAAACAAAAAAAACAACCCTGCAGTTTTAAGCTCAGCAAGGGACGGACCGCAGGAAGTGCTGACCAGCCTTGTTCAGCCTCTGCCCACTTCTGGGCATCGCTGACCACACCCTCCCTTTCAGGAAGCATACTCCTGCCCGCACCCACGGTTGTTCCCAGCCTGGGCCATACACACACACACACACACACACACACCATGGGCCTCCATCCCATCTCTTCCCTTGTGCCCAGGTCTGTGGAGCCCAGGAATGGGGTGGAGGATGCCTTGCTGACCTGCCTTGTGACCTCTTCCCAGGGGCTGTGAACAGAACGGACTGATGGCCTCTCGGTGGCCCGGCCTGAGCTCCTCCATGCGCCGGAGATCGCTCCAGAACCACCAGCCGCTGGAGGAGAGCGACGGGCCGCAGCCTGCGGCCGGCCATCCCGGGGCCTCCGGCGGAGCCCTCGGCTCCCTCTGCAGACAGTTCCAAAGGAGGCTGCCCCTGAGAGCAGTCAGCCTCAACCTGGGGGCCGGCCCCTCCTGGAAACGCCTGGAAACAGCAGAGCCAGAGCAGCCGCATCTCCAGGCTGCAGCCCGCTCAGCGAAGAGCGCCTTGGGTGCCGTGTCCCAGGTAATGCTGCTGGCCATTCCAGCCAGCTGCTGCCCTCAGGAGCCCCCAAGAAGATAGGCTCCATGAAGACAAGGACTTGGGTTTGTTCCGTTGCTGTGTTCCCAGCACCCCAAAGAGTCCCTGGCCTATAGTAGGTGCTGGACCCATAGTTGCGTGAGTGAATGAAAACTGTGTCACGGAGGAAACAGCCTCACTAAACAAGACAATAGAGCTGTTTTGTGATGGAAATTGTAAGCCAGTGGCTAATGATGGGAGGACGCCAAAAACTAGCTTAGCCAGTGAAGGCTTCTCAGATGAGGTGATTCCATGGAATTCACCCAGGAAAGGGGATGAATGAGGAGCCTGTGACGGGTGAAGTAGTGTGAGTCCAGATCCAGAGCAGAGGGAGGTCGAAAGCTGAAGAGAGCAAGGTGGGGCAGTGAGATGGGGCTCGGGGTGCCAAGGGTGTTTGGGCTCGCCCAAGAGAGACTGGCAGTCTTGGGAACCAGTGAGAAGAATTTGTTTACCGCAGGGCGGGCACCAGGTCTAATTAGCATATCAGGGCCTGATCTTTAGCTGTTTGGGGAGTTAGAAAGGGAGTAGAAGCAGATTCTCCCACGAGAGGTGCCTGGTCTTGCAGAGATGTGAACAGCCTCAGAGCTGCTCAGAAGGCAGATTTGGGAGCGTAGGGGTCAGCGGAGATGTGTGGGCAGGAAGATGTCACTTACGTTGGGTGGGAGGTGCCTGTGGACCTTCCAAGTGGATGTCTTCAAACTTAGACCTGGAGAGCCGTGGAAGTGTCAGCTAGAACGGACAGGGGCCACGGGAGTGAATAGACCTCCAAGGAGAGGACTGGGGGCAGGAGGGGGCCCTCCTTAGTATCTGACTGGGCATCTGAAGCTATGGAACAAGGAAGATGTTTGGGGGACCCTTTGTAGAGAGGTCTCTGAGCCAAATGTTAGTGCTTGTCTAGAAGAACCCCATGATTGCTTCATGCCCAAGGGATCGGGGATGAAGCCAGGTAGCCTGCCCAAGGCCACAGAACTCTCCTGAGGTAACGCGGGACTTGCTCTAACGACTCTGGACTCTGGTTGGCCAAGGCAGAGACGGTCTGGCTGAGGAAGAGCCTTCCCGGCCGCCCCCCCAGCGGAGTGAAAGGCCCAAGAGTTAGGGCGTGGCCCTGCGGGGAGGAGCAGCTGTGGGAGGGCACTGAGCAGTTAAGCATCCTGATATCAGAACCGTCCTTGAGAAGGCTCTCTGAGCATCCGTGTGGAGGGTGGCACAGTACGACCAGGAGCAGGGGGACACATTATCTCACAGTGTCCTGGGGTCAGGCTTTGCTCTTGAGTCTCTGGGTCAGTCTGTGTTCGAAAGAGGGCTTGGTCTCAGGCACCTGGAGGCTCTGTGAGCCAGTGGTTCTGCTGCGGGCCACTCACACCTGGGGCCCTGAGCTGGGGCCCTGCAGTGGCATCAGCCATTTCCCTCAGCCTTGAGCCAGAGCTGCTTGTGTGCGGGGGACAGCTGGTAGGTGGAGGGGTCGGAGGCATGGCTTGGAGACGAGGGTGGCCCACCCTTGGCTTGTCTGTGCTCACGCTTCCGTGTGCCCACAGAGAATCCAGGAGTCCTGCCAGAGTGGCACCAAGTGGCTGGTGGAGACCCAGGTGAAAGCCAGGAGGAGGAAGAGAGAGACCCCGAAGGGCGGTAGCCCCCCGGCTCGCAGCCTGAGCCAGAGGAGCACCCGGCTTTCCGGAGCCGGCCCTGCCCGCTCAACTCTGGGCCGCCGCCCATCCTCCCAGATGGGCCCCCGGGCCCACCCTCTGCGGAGATCCAGGAGGGAGGCCGCCTTCCGGAGCCCCTACTCCTCTACAGAGCCCCTCTGCTCCCCCAGGTAAGTGGGAGAGAGCCTGGCCCCCAAAACACTAACGGGGGGGCTCCCTGAGCTGAGTCACATCCGTGTTCTGGCCAGCTCTGCACCCCCCTAGTCTGAACTGTCACTACTTCAGCCTTCTACGAAGGCCTTAGCTCCCCATCTCTAAAAGGAAGGGGGGAGCTTAGCTCTGCCTGTATCGCACTGCCAAGCCTCCTACTTAGCCTACAAGCCAGTTTTCAAACCACCTGGAGACAGACTCAAGTGGGAAACCGCAGGGCTCACCTTTCTGCAAGGTCTGCCCTTGGCCTTGACCCCACGAGCCTTGGTCCATCTGTTCTCTGCCAGCTGCGCCAAGTTGCTCTGATGTCACTTCCTGGGGTGATGACCAGCCCCCACTGACCCCAGGCTGCAGTGCTGGTTGGTGGCGGGGGGAGGGAGGGGCAGGAAGGAGGCTCCTGCCACAGGTTTCCAACGAGTCACTGGTGCCCACGGCTTTTCCTTCTGTTCAGTGAATCCGACAGTGACCTCGAGCCTGTGGGGGCAGGAATCCAGCACCTCCGGAAGCTGTCCCACGAGCTGGACGAGGTCATCACGGCTGAAGAGAGGTAAGCTGGCATCTATCCTCCCAAGCAAAGTGGCTGGCAGGGTCCCCCTTTTTAAGGCAGGCCTCTGCTTCCGGCTCTGGCCACTGTAGGACCCTCGCCAGTCCCTCCCCTTCTCAGCCTCTTCATCTGCAACATGAGAGGTCATAAAGGCCCAGACTGGGGCGGGAGTTAAGGATGCACCCTGGAGATTCATGGCTTTGCTGGTCTCAGGCCACCACACGTGTCCATCACCTGGAACTTCCCCATGGCTCCCTCATGCCCTGCCCGCCCATGGGATTGGGAAAAGCTGCCTGGCTGCTTTGAGTTCCTGGTCTGTCTGCTCCGGACCCCATCCTGAGGGCAGAGCCCAGGCCTGGAGCTGCCCTAACTTGGGGCCATGTGTACATGGCGGTGATGGGCTCTTGGTAGCCTTGCGAGCTTTGACTAGATGCCATGTTGCCGGGTCTGGTCTTGTCTAGTCCAGGCTGGGAGGGCCCTCGGAGCCTGCTCACCCCGATGGCATGTCTCTCCTGCTTTTCCATCTCTAGCGCCGACATGATGGTTTCTCTCCTTCGAGACTGACCGAGTGCCCTCCAGGTAATGCCCTCCTCCTGAGCATCTTTCCTCCCAAGCATCCTTCCCAGCGTGCTCTCCTTCCTCCTCTCCTCCTCCTCCTCCATGAGCAAATGTGTAGATTTGGAGGCGCATTGAAGGACTGAGTCTCCTGGAGAAACCCACAAAGCTAACGCCCAGCAGAGTGGGAAGTGGGCCGTCTTCCTTCCAGCTGGGACTTGAGCTGCTCATCTCATGGACTCACCACCGTCCAGCGCCTCATTCTGGGGGTAGACTCTGCTGTCCTCACCCTCCCATCTCCCCTGAAGCGCAATGAGGGGCAAGAAGAGAGCTCTTTCTTGAAGGAAGTGAGCTATACCTGACCCCTACACCCCTACACGTGGGATCCATACCTCCGCACCTTTGAGTTCCTGGAGGAAGCCCCCGAGAGTCGGCAGTGCCCCGAGGCCACTGCTGACGACCTGATAGGCAAAGGCCCAGGTGGAGGCTGGTCAGGGGCCTCTGCTCTCCTGCCCAGACCACATCTAAGCCCCGCAGAGACCACCTGCCACAGCCCAGGAGGTGACGTGTTGCAGACCCAGCTACTGGGTGCACAGCTCCCGGGCCTGCCACAGAAGAAGGGATGGGAGAGTTATCCAGGCTCTGAGACCTGGGGCCTACGGGTCCCTATTTATGTTCTCAGCAAGCACCAGGCACTGGATGGCAGCGAGGAGTAGCACTGCTCAGCAATGCCTGCCCTTTGTAAATTATTTAAGAAATCTGTTTTGTCATTTTATTAGGAAGAAATCATAACTTCCCTCCATAGCGCTGCTTTTGCATAACAAAGACTGACAGATTGAGGGAGTCTCAGAGGGAAGGCTAGGTTGGGAGGGATTAGCCATGGAATTTGCATGCATCTGTGCACAGCCCGTGGACACAGACAATAGTGTGGTGAGGGCCTGGCAGGGGAGGGCGTGGCAGAGGGGATGAATGGGGGAAAGGGGAGGAAATCTGTAATACTTTCAACAATAAAGGTAATTTTTTGAAAGAATGGAGAGGAGAGTTCGGCAATATAACCATGTACAAAATATACCAAAAATAGAGGTTTTCTCAATGTACCAGCAGTACAGTACGTCTATGGAAAATAATAAAGATTTTCTTTCATCATTAAAAAAAAAAGAAAAGACTTGCTGTATTTGACATCTCTTCTCTGTTACCCCCACTCCCTGCCACTGCCACTCTGGTCTGTCCTGGGGCCAGGCTTTGTTCCCCTTATCCTCCCCACTTCCCTCCACTCCTAGGCAGCCCCCCCACCCACCCACCTAAAAGCAGGATAACAAGACAGGTTTCTCAGCTTCATTCAGAGCAAAGCACATTTTAAAGGCAAATAAGGTTTTTATTTAAGTGACAACGTTTGAGAGTTAAAAACCAGTGCACATCAAAATCAAGACCCGTTGTAAAAATCGTTGAACTCCGTAATGCTGTTTTTTGTCTAGTTAGAAATCTGATAGTTTACATGTTCTTTGCTCGAGGATTTTGTACAAGGCAGCCATGAGGGATAGAAACCTTTTCACCCACAGATCCACCCGCCACGGACAGTACTGAGAGGTACACACGGAAGAACAGTTAGACGGCGAACAAGACCACACAGGCTGCCACCACCGAGTAAACGAATAGAAAGGAGGGTAGGGGTCCCCGTGAGTGAGCCGCCCTCCTGTCCTGCCCCTCTTTGGTGTCACCTGCCAAACCTTGTCCCCACGAGAGGGAGGTCCAACTGGCATTTACCCCGACCACCCTCAGCAAAGCGAGCAGGACCCAGGCCAGGGCTCGATGCTTGGACTTGACCCTAAGGATAGTTTTTAAGAAAGTTCCCCCAAGCCCAGAGGCAGCAGGAGAAGGGAGGTGACCCCTTGTGGCAGATTAGGTCCCCAGCGCACTGGGCACCCACACCCCTGGGGTTTGGCTGGGAAGTTGGTTGTTTAAGGCGGGGTCAATTTCGAGACTCCTCTGCCCAGCACCCACCCCATCCCACCCCACCCCGGGCTGTCTGTACCTAGGCTGGGTGGGGTGTCCCCGCAGAGCTTGCACTCTGCCTGGGGCCCAGCTTTCATTGAAAAAATGGGTGCCACGTTTCGTCTGCAGGACACTTCTGGGTGTGGGAGGGTCCAGAGTGGTACAAGGAGACCCAGAGAGCCCACCCGCTAGTGATGTCTGAATCCTGGGGTGCAGACATGTTTTCTCTGGCCCAGTGTCCAGGCAGGAGGGCACTCATCCAAATGCATGAAAAGTCCCCCTGTTTTCATATTTTGTGAAGCTCAAAGGAGGAGTCAGGCTCTTTAGAAAAAACCATGATGCCCCCACGAGCAGGCCCTGGCTGCGGATGCACCCTGAACCCCCAACAGGGCGAAGGGACAGGCAGGCCCTGGCTTGGGATGCACCCTGAACCCCCAACAGGGCGAAGGGACTGGCAGGCAGGCGGCAGGTGGGCCCTCCGGCAGGACAGCTCCCCAGCTGGGAGGAACAAACATGCCACGGAGAAACAGGGAGCTTTGGTCAGGCAGGGAAGTCCGCTCCCCAGCTCCGGGGGAGCCGGCTCTGGAGCTGAAAGGGTTCTCCAAGGAACGGCCCTCGGGGGCCACGGGACGACTTGGGGAGGGGCGGCGGCCCCTCCGGAGAACAACACGACTCGGCTCTTTGTTTTTCTCCAACAAAACGGGACGAACGAATTGGAACGAGCCACTAGCAGAGAAAGTGCTTGTGGGTTACAGCTGCTGTGAAAAGCAGAACTGAAACTTACAATGTCCGAGTCTGGTCACCAGACAGGACCGCACAGCCACACCCACTGGCGCTGCGCGAGCGCCTGCTCACAGCGCTCACTGTCCATCACCCTCACACCCGGGGCGTGAGGCTTCGGAGCCCCCACCAGGGCTCCAGAAAGGAAGGGGGCCCTCCCACTCCCACCCCCAAAACCAGAATCCGGCTCCCGTGGACTCAGATTCCCCAGGACCGGGCATGCCTGCTCCCTCGGGCTCCAAGCCTGGGGTTCTCAGGAAAGGCAGAGGGGGATCGGACGGGGGGAGAAGGCTCTCACGCTCATTATTTTATCTTGTGAGAGTGATACATCAGTGGCAAAGAGGAGGTGGAGTTTCAGCGAATCAGAATAAGTCTGCCCAAGTGGAATTCAGGGATATTTTGGAAGAAAAGTGGAGGGAGGGGAAGGGAGAGGAGGGGAGGGGAGGGGAGGGGAGGGGAGGGGAGGGGAGCGGAGGGGGAGGGTTGAGGTGGCTAAGCCACAGGAGCTGGTGCCTCATGGAGCCGAGAAAAGGTGTCCAGTGAAGGAGGAATGTGAACTGCCAGGAGGCAGGACTGGAGAGGACGCCTGGGGCGACCTCCCAGCCCCAGCAGAGTGGCTGGGCGCTGCTGAAAGGCAGGTGCTGGACTGAAAGGGACGCAGGGAGCTGGCAGGCTGGCAGGCTGGGGTGGCCGCGCGGGCAGACTGGAGAAGACACATTTCTAGTGGAGAGAGCAGGGTTAGGGGCTGGGATCCCTGACCCCTCCGGCCCAGTCGGGTGCTCCGTGTGCCAGTGGTGCCAGCCGCCCCCACCAGCAGCGGCCGGCCATCGGGGAGGACACTGGCCACGTGGGAACGGCAAGAGGTAGACATTGAGCAGAAGCGACACTGAGCTGACACAGGTGCCGGCTGTGTATGCAGCTGTCCGGGCGCTGGGGCGGCCTGGCCCGTGACGCAGAGAACGGGGCAGCAGGAGGGGCTCAGAGCCTGGCCAGCGCCGAGGAGACCCATGCCAGGGCCAGGGGCCCAGCAGCACGAGGCCCCAGAGAGCTAAGCCCCGCCAACCTCAGGGGATGATCTAGGAGGAAGTTACGGGCCCCAAACCGAGCTGAGTGGCAAAGGGGAGGAAGGAGTTTGAGCCAAAACGACAGGGACCCCCAGAACTCTGGGGTCTCAGCTCTACACCTTCCAGGAGCCACGAGGAAGGAATCAGACTGGGTGGTGCCAGAGATGGGGAGCCAGATCCGTTCCCTCTGGCCGTGTCCCTGCTCCTGGGACAGCGGGTGTGGGCATCGGAATAAAATAGCCTCGCGGGCCGAAACCAGTTTGGCTCAGTGGATAGAGCGTCGGCCTGCGGACTGAAACGTCCCGGGTTTGATTCCGGTCAAGGGCATGTACCTTGGTTGCGGGCACATCCCCGGTAGGGGGTGTGCAGGAGGCAGCTGATCCATGTTTCTCACTCTCTCTTCCCTCTTTCTTCCTCTCTGTAAAAAATCAATAAAAATATATTTAAAAAAAAAAATACAGCAGTCTCTCAGTGAAGCTGGGACCCCTTCCCCCAGCCCCGTCTTTGAAGTGGTGGGGCAATAGCTGCTCCCTCCTGCCCTCACCGAGTCCCGCTCTCCGACTGTGGGGACAGCATAGGTCCCTAAGCCCTCGGAGGACCTCTGGGCCTGGAAAGCCTCGCGGGGCAGAAGTGCGGGGCAGCCTAGGAGCCAAAACTGAACCCCATTCGATCTCAGCTGGGGAGATCCCGCAATTACAGAAGGAAGGCAGGGCCCAGAGAGGGCCAGTAGCTGGCTCAGGGGCTCACAGCCAGCCCAATGGGGCCAGAGCCTCAGGCCGCAGCCTCACAGGGGACGGCACCGGGTGGGCCTCCAGAGAGAGAAGCCCTCTGGGGCCGCAGGAGGGTGCTGAAGACACTGAGGACAGAAGGCGGGACTGGAACAGCACCAGACCCCTCCCCCAGAGCTGGGGACAGACACCTGAACACACAGCTTGGCCCAGGGGGCACCCTCTCTCTCCCAGAAAGTGGCCGCTTTGCCGCAGGAGAGCCAGGCCCAACCTGGTGATTCGGGATGTCAGGCACCAATGCCACTCACGCGCCTCTCACGGGACAGCCAAGAGGCCGCGGATCCCTGGTCTGGGGGCTTCTCGCGTCGGGACTTGCCTTGCACGATCTCGGAAGCCCAGAGAACCCAGAAGGATGGTCGACTCCGTCCAACACCAGCTCCGGGCAGGCCTGCACCCAGCCAGTTACACAGACACCAACCCCGAACTGGGCCTGAAGCCACAGGCACCGGGGAGGCAGCAGCGGCTGCACTGAGACCCAGGATCTCACCCCCTTGCAGCCTAGGGAGCCCCCCAAGGCCGGGTAGGGCCCCTCCCTCCCCCTGTGGTCGGACACGACTGGACAGACACGGGAGGGAAAAAGCAGAAAAAGGCCTGTGTCCGGGAGAAGGCGGCCGCTCCCGTCCCCCCGCAGGCAGTCCGCCAGCCAGGGGCCCCCTGCTCCGCGCACAGCCCGCCCTCAGGGCACCGGCTCGAACTTGGGGGGCCCGCGCGCCCAGCTGAGCGCGGACAACGGCCGCTCGTGGTCCTTGTCGGACTCGGGCTGGCTCTGGGCGCGCTCGGGCTTGGGGTTGGCGGGCGGGTCGGGCTGCTGCACAGACAGGGTGCGGCGCAGGTGGTTGCGCTTGCGGAGGAAGTCGGGCTGGAGGCCGAAGCTGCCCTTGCGCAGCGCCATCCGCGAGTTGTTCTTCTTGGGCCGCGCGCGGTGGCTGGTCTCCAGGGCGGCCAGGTGGGCGGCGTAGCCCTCGCTCAGGAACTGCAGGGTGCACGGGGGGGGGGGGAGGGGGGGGAGGGAGGGGGGGGAGGGAGGGGGGGGAGGGGACCAGGGTCAGGCCAGCGGGGCAGGCAGGTGCCTGGTCCTGCCCCCACCAGCGACAGTCACCCTTTCTCTCCCTGCCATGGACTCTCCAGCTTCTCCGTGGAACCTGCAGGAAACTGGACTCTCTTACCATTCAAGGCTCCTGAGCCCTCACGTCTGGTCTATCTGCACCTGTGGGCCTTCGGATCCCCTGGATTCTTGATGGGGGCGGAACGCCCATCCTGGTCACTTCCACTAAAACCCCAAACTGTCAGTCTCTCCCACCATCCACCTTCTTTCTACCCCAGGGAACTCAGTCATGTTCCGGCCTCCACAGCGGCCCTCTGGCCATTCCTTCCCGCTGTGCTCAGCTTGCTGTTCCCAGTGCAGTCCGTGCGCCAGCAGCAGCTGCATCCCAGGCCCCACCCCCGACTACAGACCAGGATCCAAGTGTAAACAACATCCCCATGAGGCCCACCAGTGCACAGGGAGTGTGAGATCAGCACTGCCCTAAGGATCCCCACTCAGGGGTCCCTCCACCGTCACACTCAACACGCCCCGAAGGAGCACCGCTTTCCCCTCCATCTGCTCCTCCGCCTGCTCCTCCCCAAGCTGGAAACAGGGTGCCCTCCTTGCTTTTCCCTTCCTGTGTCCCACACACCTGCACCGCCATCACCAAATCCAGTCCCTCTTCCTAAACGTGCGGCTCAGACCCTCCGACCTCCCTCCCCTCCACTGCCCTGCCACCTCCTCTCACCCGCCTGCCCCCTGCAGCCTTGAACTGCAAACACTCCACAGACTCAGAGCCCGAGCCTAGACTGGCAAGGCACACAGGCCCGCACGCACTGCCCCCGAACCCCAGCTCCTCTCCCGCTCCCCCCACCTCACACTCGGCCACGCTGGCACTGGCCGTTCCCAGAATACACCAGTCTTCTGTCGCCTCCGGAGCCTTTGCTTTTGCTGCCGCCCCTGTCACAAATGCTCCTCCCACCACAGGCCCTTCTAGGGCCAAGCCTCACACTTCGGAGAGCCAGCCTCGCTCTGAGGCCAGGGCGCCTGTCCTTGTCTGGGGCCCAGCCAGCCATCTGTGCTGCCCCCTCATTTATCATGGCTCCTGCCACCCTGCACTGTCCCTGTCTGCCCATGTTCCCATCTCCCTGCTGGGCTGGATGGCATGACACCCGCTTCACCCGGGACTCTCCCCTGCCCCCAACACAGGGCCCGTTTCAAGGCCAGTGTCTCGCAGTATTTGCTGAATGAATGAATGAATGAATGAATGAGTGAGCAGATGAAGGAATGGTCAAATAAAAGAATAACCACCTATCCCCCCCTTACTCTTTCCCTTGCCCCACTCCCCAACCCCCAGCCCCAGCCCAGCCCCCACCCACCTGGCACTGGGTTTGGTACTTCTTGGTGGGCCGGCCCACGATGAAGATCTGGGAGGGCGGCAGGCCCAGCACGCTGTAGACGGAGATGTCCTTTGTGGAGCCGTAGGCAGCGCTGATTTTGATGAAGCACTGAAACACAGAGCAGCTCATGGAGGGCGAGGGAGGCCAGTCACCCCCGCCTACCCCCGCCAATGGGTTTCTGGATCTCCACCCCCCAGGAAATTCCTGCCGGGGGCCCTTCTCTGTGCACCGATAGAATCCAAGTCATGGGTCTGCCCTGAAGTGGCCTCCCTTCTCTGCCCCGACCCTACACCCCTGGCCCAACCCAGGGTTCTGCCTGGAAATGCCAGGACCACACCGTCAGCTGAGCAGCTCTATTCGTAGGTCATGTGACAATGGGGCAGAGCGCTCCTTTGGGGACCGGGAAGTTGAGGGCCAGGTTCCCAGGTTTCCATATCACAGAGCCAGTCCTGTCTGTCCTCCAACCCCGTGCCATCCATCCCCTCCGCACTGGACTGGAGGCGCCATGTGGCCACTGCCTGGTGCTGGCTGGCCTGATGTCCTCCTCATAAGCATCATCTATCAGAGGATGGCCAGCTCCTCATGTCTGCGTCACTTCCAGATCCCCGCCTGCACTGAGGTGCTCACCATCTCGAGGCTCCTCACTTTGAGCCCCCCACTGACGTCATCTTCTCTCCCTTCACCCCAAATTCACGGGGACTTTTGGTCCCAGCTTTTCTTCCTCCTAAGTCCCACCATCACTGGGATGACTTCCTGTCCACACGATGACCCCTCATCGCCTGAACCTCTCAGCATCTTGCCTTCTTTAAGGTCAATGACCAGCACCTCCAAGACTGGACCGGGAACGGCCCCCTCTGAACTCTGAACCTTCGCCTTCCCACACTGCCCCCCCCCCCACTTCCCTCAATGTCTCTGACAGCCTCTGGCCTTTTCCCACCGGCATCCTCCGAACGTCTCTTCTCACCCCTCCTCACCCTGCCGGGGCTCCCCATGGCCTCCCTGGGTTCTCCTCCACCTTACATTCTCCAGGCCCTCATCCTAGACACACCCTCCCCCCCCACCCACATACTCACACATTCTCTCTCTCTCTCTCTCTCTCTCTCTCTCTCTCTCTCTCACACACACACACACACACACTCACACTCACTTACACACACACTCACACTCACACACACACTCACACACATACTCACACTCACACACACTCACACATAACACTCAGACACACACAAGCACACACACCCACACACACACTCACATACACACTCTCACACATACACAAACACACACTCAACCATAAACATACTCACACATACACACACACACTCACATACTCACACATACACACATTCACACAGACACACTCACACACACACTCACACATACACAAACACACACACTCAAACATAAACACACTCACACATACACAAACACACACACACACACCTCAGCCTGAACTTTCTCCAAATCCACCTTCTCCGTTTCTATATGCTGGCTGCTGAGAGCTTCTGCAAAAACACAGAACCACACAGCCCTGGCCCCGCATATTCTTTCTGCTCCCACCCCCCAAACCTGCCGATTTTTACTTCCCTCCCTGAGCTGCTTCCCAGTCCTGGGTGTCAAACCAAAGAGAGGGCTTTTTCAGCCCTCTGGCCCTCTCCGCATTAGCGGTTCCCCCAACCTGCCTTTAGTCCAAAGGAAGAAGCCATTTCTGTGCCCCTCCCTGTCCCGCCTCCTGACTCACCCAGCTCACTCCCGCAGCCTCAGTCCAGTGAGTCCACACCCACCCACACCACTGCCCTCTGAGCCGAAACCCGCCTTCTCTGCTCCCACTCCACTGCTCTGCCCTCTGACCTTCTGAGGTGCCCCTTCTTCCCTGAGGTCAGCAGTATCCAGCCTTCATCATAAGGACATTTGTCCTTCACAAGGACATTCCCTCCTCCTTTGAAACCTTCTCCTGCCGATCCCTGGAAGCTCCTCCCTCCTGCCTCCTCGCATCTGGCGCCTCTGGTTCCTCTGCTGCTCCTCTTGCTGCTCTTCGGGGCTCAGCACAACCCCTCTCACCCCCGCCCACGGCTCCATTGGCCTGCTCAGCCGGGACTGACGTAGTGTGTGTGCAATGGCCATTCCAGCCTCAGTGTGTCCACAGGTAAGCTCATCTTCCCCCAGCCTGGTCCCCTGTCATTTCATTCATTTGCTCATTCATTCCGCTAACATTGATCGCGTGCCTGCCCTGTGTCGTCATTGCCCCATTTGCTGGAGACAAATTGGGGGCAAAGCAGCCACAACTGTGCCTCCATGGAGACTGCAGTCGGGTCAGATGAGTAGCACCTGAACTTCTCCTGGTTACTCAGGGGACATCTGAGAGCTCCTCACTCCCTGCATGAAACCATCACTGGACCCCGGCAGTTCTCCCTCCCAGTTTGCCCATGCCTTTCTCTCCATCCCGAGCTACCGCTGGACTCTGGTCTGCCTGTCTCTCATTTGGGCAACAGCTTCCTGACATCCCTGCCTCTTGCTTCTCCCACTAATCTGTTCTCCACAGAGCTGCCGGAGGGATCTTTCTCCGGCCCAAATGAACACACTGCCACTTTAAGCTCTCCCATGGCTCTGAGTTCTTCCATAGTTCCTCGTTGCCCTCAGCAGAGAGTCCATGGTCTGGGCCTGGCTTCTGAGGTTTTCAAGACCTTGGGCAAGTCGGTGAGCCTCGCCTTTCTCCTCTGTCACCGGGGAGAACAATACCTACCTGGAAGGGCTGTGGAAGGACCCACTGAGATCTGCTCGAGGGACCTTTGCCATCCACGTGCACCGTGGGAGGAGTGGGTAAAGGGATGAGGGCCCACGGGGTTGAGGGAGGAGAGTCCTGGGGGCCGCAGCCCCACCCCGGCTGGCCGCTCACCTCCTGCACGAGGTTGCGAAGGAAGATGGCCTTCTGCCGCAGTGGGTCGTGCACCAGCCCGTCGGAGAAGAAGATCATGCCCTGCGGGAAGTTGTGCTGGGACAGCCAGGAAACCACCCGCTGCTTCTGCATGTCCGGCCGCCCCGTGATGTAGAGGATCATGTAGCCCAGGTCTTGCCAGTGCCTGGTGAGAGGGCATTGCAGCATCCAGCCCCGCCCCAGTCCACCCGCCGCCCGGGGGTCTGTCCTGCCCGCCTGCTGCCTTCCTGAGAAGATGGAGGGGCTGCTCCAAGGAGGAATACCAGGGGGATCCCCAAGTCCATCCTCCCAGGGGAGCCCCTGAGTCCTGGACATCTCTCTTGGATGGCCCACAGGCCCCGCGTGCTCACGCCACTGGTCCCCCGACTCCGGGCCCCTCCGCCCATGTCCCCTCTCTGTGGTGCTGCCAATGTCACTCAAGTTTCTGGAACCAGAGATAAGCCCCTTTGCTTCTCTCCCCTCCTTCCCTCCCCCCCCCCCTCCCACCTTTCCCTTTGCCGCCCTCCTTCCTCCTCCAATCAGGAGCGGCCTTCCATTCTATCAGGTCCTTACTGCGTTCTCCACCCACTGCAATCCACTGCTCAGCCTTAGCTCAGGCCCTGGGTCTGCAGGGCCACCACAGGAGCCTCCTGGTGGAGCCCTTTGCTCCACACCCCCACACGCTTCAATCTAACCTGGGCCTGCAACCTCAGGCAGGTTCATTAGCCCTAGGGTTTCAGTTTTCACTGCTGTGAAACGGAGAGGATATTAGCAACCACCATGCAGGTCATGCTATGGATGAAATAAATGCATTAATCCCAAGTGTCCCCGGCCTGCTGTGTTTCATACAGGTGGGGCACTATTACCCCCTGTACTGTTTCCATGGTGATGTTTGTAAATCACAGATCTAACTTTGCCTAAAGAAAGCCATTCCTGGCTCCCCAGTGCCCTGAGGTCATGAGCCCTCTCCTCACCATTGGCCTCCGTGCTGTGCCCTGGAGTCACAGAGCTGCTGGGCTGTCCGGGACCAGCCTTGCACTCTCCTGCTGCACACCTTCCCCGGCCTCAGTGGGCATCTCCTGGTGTTCCCATCCCCCCAGCTTTGCCAGCCCCTCCTCCAGAAGCCTTCCCAGTGTCCCAGCGACCCAGGCAGAATCAGTGTCCCTTCTCTGTGCTCGCACAGCACAGTGGGATGAGCACTGAGCAGTTCGCCACCTCGCATGGCATTCTGGCCTGTTTGGGAGCTGCTGGGGCACTAGCCCCCCACTGGCTACTCCAGATTGGGGGGAGGGGGGCTTCCAGACCTGGCAGGTGACCGAGGAGATTGGAGAGGTTTTGTAACAATGCAGGGGCCCCGGTGTCACCCCCAGAGAGTCTGGTTAGACTGGTGTGGGATCCAGTGATTTGTGATGACAAGAGGCAGTTTCTGATGGGCAGCAGGGTTTGGGAAGCACCAAGTGGCCCCAGGAGCCCGCAGGAAAGAGGGGAGAGCACCAGAAGGATCCTCGGAGAGGAAGGGCCAACCACAGCCTCCCTTTCCCAGATCAGGGATAATGACTGGGCGGGTTTTGGAGGAGATGTTCATGGGAATAAAAGGCACAGCCTTGCCAAAACCGGTTTGGCTCAGTGGATAGAGCATTGGTCTGCAGACTGAAGGGTCCCAGGTTCAATTCTGGTCAAGAGCATGTACCTTGGTTGTGGGCACATCCCCGATAGGGGGTGTGTAGGAGGCAGCTGGTCGATGTTTCTCTCTCATCGATGTTTCTAGCTCTCTATCTCTCTCCCTTCCTCTCTGTAAAAAAATCAATAAAATATATATTTTTTTAAAAGGCACAGTCTTATATAGGGAGTGACATCGAGCCTGTCCGTGACCTGTCCCCACAGGTCATCATGAGTCAGCAGTGTCCTAGGAGCCCCTGAACCAGGATAGTATTCTCTTCCCAAAGCAGTCCCTGCGACTGGGGTGAGGTCGGACAGTCACTGTCCCAACACCAAGGACTCCCAGGACTCAGGACCAGTTCCACTCGTGGGGTTCTGATCACTTGGAGTTCTGGCCCAGTGTCTCACCCCCGTGACTTGATTCCCCATGGACCGTGAGACTCTCCTCCTCGGATCTCTCCCCTCTCAGTGCCCAGCACAGGCCTGGCTTAGGAAAGGGAGGCGGGGGTGGAGGGAGGCGGGGAGGGCGGCAGGAACGTAAGTGGTGCCTCTTTTGCTTTTCTGTCGTCAGCAGCCTCTGCACCCCTCTCAGCAATGGGAGGCTGCATTTCCAGCCACACTCCTGCCCTGTCCTAGCCTGGTCTCCAAAACCCAACCCTGACCTTGTCCCTCCTGCCCCCCACGTGCTCTGCTCTTCCCTGTCTTTGTCACCATGTGCCCTTCTCTTGGCCTGTCTAAATCGATTTTTTTTTCTTTCTTTCCTCCTTCCTTCCTTTTTCTTTTTTTTTTTTTTCCCTTTTTTCATCCTACATAATAAAAGGCTAATATGCTAAGTGTCCAATTGTTCAGTTGGCCATTCAACCAATCAAAGCATAATATGCTAATGATATGCTAAGGCCTCTCAACTGCTTGCTATGACATGTACTGACCACCAGGGGGCAGATGCTCTGACTAGTAGGTTAGCTTGCTGCTGGGGTCTGGCCAATCGGGACTGAGCCAAACGGGCCAGATATGCCCTGGGGCCCTCCCCCACTGGCCAATCTCCTGCATCCCTCCCTGGCCCCAATACCTGATTGTACATTGGTGGATCTCTCGGTCTGGCCTGTGCCCTCTTGCAATCCAGGCTGATCCCCTCTCTCTCCCCATTTGATAATATTTGTACAATGGCATGGATTGAAAAGCATATATACATCCACCCTTTAGGGGCTATCTCAAATGCCACCTCTCCCAGGAAGCCTACTCTGCTTTCTCCAACCAGCTGGAATAGATCCCATCTCTCAACTAACCCTGTGGTTAGCTAGTCTCGAAAGATGGCCCCTCGCTGAGCCCTGAGTCCCAGCATTCGCATGTATGTGGGCCGATCCCCTTGAGTCTGGGCAGATCCTGGGACTAGCTTATAACCAACAGAATGCAGAGGGAAGGACATGGTGCCTCCCAAGGCTAGGTCAGACGAAGGCTTGCAGCTTCCACCTGATCTGGGACCCAGGGGGAGCCAGCCACCCTGTGCAACGTCTGAATAGCTTGAGGCCTCCCAGGCTAGCCCTGGGCAGCAGCCATGGGGAGGGACAGAGCCCCCAGGCAAGAAGCAGCACGTGCAGTCAGCAGCCAGCCCTCCTGACATCTGGCCCAGGGGAGCCTTCAGACGCCCCCACCCCAGACCACCTTCTGCAAGAGACACCCCCCATGAGAACCTTGCAAAAGAACCCAGACAGTCAGGAGAACCATGAGACAGAATCATAATTATTATTTTAAGCAGCTAAGTTTGGAGCCATTTGTTACACAGCAGGGGATCATCAGAACAGGCAGATTTATCCTGATTGGGGTCAGAATGTGAGAGACCAGGCCTGATGCCCTGCAGAGAATGCTCAGATAGAGTTAGAGGAAGCCGAGGAAGGAGGGCAGGGTGGGCAGGCGGAGCAATCTGAGGTTAGAACACGACAGGAAGTATCTCGGGGACGCAGGTAAATTAACACTGGAAGTGAAGCCAAGGCTTCGGGCTCCTGGCCCCGAGGCCAGTGGGATTCCTGGAGGAAACCAGAAAAAGCTTATCTGTGTCCCCCAGGTCCGCTGGCTCCTGCCCACGGGGGACATGTCCCTTGCAGGGAAGTAGCACTCACCGGACAACGTCCACTGCCCCCGGCCGGACCTTGGGGTCACTTCCCATGATGGACACGCTGGCTGCAAAGGACCCGTCGATGCTGAAGACCACGCACTCCATGCCTCGGGGCAGCACCGTGAGGTAGCTCGTCGCACACGTCTGGTCGCCCCTGAAAAGCACTGCTGGTGCTCAGCCATGTGCCAGGTCAGGGGTTAGCCGGGGGCCAGAGGTCAGCGTGCCACTGGGTCAGAGCTCAGTTTGGGGCCAGACAATCTGATGATGACCTCTCTCCCCACAGACAGGCAGGGATGAGGCCCAAAACAGAGCATCCTGAGGGCCCATCTTCCGGAGAGGCTCTGCTGGAAGGGCCAGGGCAGGGGTGCAGCCACCATGGGAGCATGTCCTGGGTCTCACCTGACCACCATCTTCACGGGGTACACGCCCACCCCCAGGCGCCGGGGCCTCGGCACGCTGTACGTGATCCGGCCGCTGCTGTTGGTGATCTCCGTGTCCAGGTGCACCCAGCGGCCCGAGGACGGCTCTGCCATCACCAGGATATCCACCTGTGGGCAGCAAGGGGGCCAGGGAACGCACTGAGACTGGGGTGCTGCAGGCTTGGCTTGGGGGCTCGGCCAAGGAGCTCTCTGCCAAAACAGAACTCAGGGGCTTGGGGTCCTGCCTGATATTTCCTGGTTCCTACCACCCTCTCTCTCCCCACTGCAGCCATGACCGGCCCCTCAGATGCACCAAGATCACCCCTGCTTCCTGGCTTGCCCCCTCCTCCCCCCCCCCTCCACGGGCAGGGTGTCTCCCAGCTCGGCCTCCCTCAGCCCTCAGCCCACATGCCATGGGGTACCATGAGGCACCCGGTGTGTGTGTGGGCAGTCAAGGAGGGGATGCCCCGACTCTGTACCTTCTCTCCTGTCAGAGCCACCATGTCCAGGGGCCCGTACATGAACCGCCCCACCAGGACCTGGGGGCCGTCCTCGGCGGCGATGACATCGTTGGCCCGGTGGTTGGCAGTGACGTTCTGCAGGGAAAGAAACCAGCTCAGCCTCTGCACCAGGGGCTGCAGCATGTCCGTCCCCTGCATTGTCCTCAGGACTGGAGGACACGGACCTGCCAGAGCAGGCCTTCCTGTGAGCCCTGTTAGAGCCCCTAAGACATGTTCACATGAGAAAACAGATCCCGAGACCTCAACACCATCCCCCCGAGAGCGCTGGGGTCCCCCAAGGGGAGCGTTCTCTGCTCTCATTGTCCCCGCGGCCCTGAGGAACCGCCAGTCCTCACAGCCTGGCATCCTCCTTGGCTCCGAGGCTGGAAACGGCCAGTCCGCTCCCTTCGCTTCTTCCTTCCACCTCTCTGCTCACATGCCACAGCCATTTACCATCTGTCTTTTATTAGTGAGGATGGACTAGAGCAGAGAGAATCGTGTGCCTAACACCAGCTCCTCTGCCGATCCACTCTGGTGCCCTTCCCTTGCAGAATCCCCAGCCCACCCCCACGCCAGAGGATCTGGAGCCATCCAGGACATCCCATCATTTCCAACGTCCCACGCCTCTTCCCTCCCGGTGTCAGGTCACTGCAGCTCAGAGGCCTCCATCGGCCAGCACCCCCCTTCTCGGCCTGGCTTCCACACCGCAGCCACTCAGCCTGGCGGCCCTTCCCCTGCAGAACTGCCCCCATGGCATCTCTCCCTCACCGTGTTCTCTCTCACCTGGGCTCTGCTAATGGCTTCTTCATGAAGCTCCACATTCAAAAACAGACCCCCAGCAGGTCCACAGGCTTTATAAAGCACAGATCTGTTAGCCCCAGGACCCCCGGGCGAAAGTCCAAACCATGAGCTCAGCACTAAAGCGCTGCCCGGGCAGCCTTTCTGCCCTCTCTCCTGCTCCCCTTCTGAGTCCCTCTGGTCCTTTCTGGCCGGGCTCTGCAGTGGCCTCAAGGCCTTGGCTCACATTGGGCCCCCACGCTATAATACATGCCATCGCTGGCCTCCTGCCCCCAGAGTCCAGCACATCCACCATGACCTGACTCAATGTTGTCCCCTCCCAGAAACTCTGCTTAGACGCCCCTACAAGGCCTGTACCTCCTCTCAGTTCCCAGGGAATTTTAGTTCAGTTCAGCAAACATTTGTAGCCACCTCATCTGCATAGGTCCCTCGGCTGGGCTTGGGGGACACAAAGGGGAACCAGACATTACCCCTGCCCTGGGGACACTCCAAAGTGCGGGACCCAGGCCCCCTCACAGGAACCTAGGACAGAAACCAGCTCAGCCTTTGCACAAAGGGCTGCAGCTTGCCTGTCCATTGCATTGTCCTCAGGACTGGCTGGTGGGACACGGACCTGCCAAAGCATGCAGGGGGAAGAATTGGTTCATGGGAACAAACACATGGAAAGATGCTTGAATCTTACTAGTCAGTCATCAAGGAAATGCCAATCAAACCACAATGAGATATCATTTCATACCCACTAGGATGATAGAGTCCAAGAGACAGATAATAATCAGTATTGGTGAGGATGCAGAGGACTCAGAACCCTCGTACACGGCTGGGTGGGGGCGGAGGTATGTAAAATGATGGTGCTGCTTTAGACAAGTTTTGCAGTTCCTCAAATGATTACACTAGAGTTACCCTTTGACCAGGCAATTCCGCTCCTAGGTACATGCCCAGAAGAAATGAAAGCATCTGTTCGCATAAAAACCTGCACACAAATAGTTATAGCAACATCATTCATAGTGGACAAAGGGTGAAAAGTGGTTCATGGATAAGCAAAAATGGGGCATATCCATTCAATGGAATATTATTCAGCCATAAAAAGGAATGAAGTACTGATGCATGCTATCACATGGGTGAACCTTGAAAACATTATGCCAGGTGAAAGAAACCAGACACAAAAGACAATGTATTGTATTATTCTGTTTATGTGAAATCTCCAGAATGGGCAAATCTATAGAGACTGAAGGTAGATCCCTGATTGCTTAGGGCTGGGGGATGATGGCCAATGGGTGTTTCTTTTTTGAAATAATGAAACGTCAGGTTGCATACACCTGCGAGTACACTAAAACCTATTGAATTTTAAATGGGTGAATAATACCTGAGTTATAGCTCAATAAACATCTCAAAACAGAAGAGTCCATCCACGGAGTACGGATCACCTTCTACCTTGTTAGCACTCCTGGTGGGGTCTATGCCTGGGTCTTCCCACCAGGCTGGACGTGTCCCCCCCCCAACCGTGGCTGTGTCTATAAACCCCCGTTCTCCGCTCGCTCCCTGGAAGAGGGCCAGGGACACAGGGGGCACTGATTGCTTACTGAGTGAGTAAATGAATGTGTATAGCAAACCTCTATTTACATCTCAGTGCCCCTTACGGGTGACTCTTCATGGAAGCCGTGCATGTCCCGCCCTGTGATTCTCCTTTCTATCTCCTCCCCACGCTTTGCCTCCCTCTGTCGTGGCAAATCCCTCTCTAGACCACACTTGGCAAGTCAGGCTGTGAGCCCCGTGATCGCGGACAGGGCTCTTCACACCTACATCTCTAGAGGCCCTGCGCATAGCAGCTGCTCCATAATTGGCATCTCACTCTCCCCAGTGCCCTGGACCCCCATTCTTTGGGTTCCTCTGGAACCAGGCCACCTGGAACCAATTCTTTCCATCTTACACACACCCCCAAACCTCACCCCCTTACCCCCTGCAGCACCCTACGCCTCAGCTAAGCATGAAGCCCAGCATGTGTGAGTGCTCAGCTCTGAGGGGCAAATCAAAGGCCTTCCCTGCCATGCGGACGCCCCAGCCCCCAGGGCAGCCCCACTTCTCTGAGGTCACATCCCAACCAGGGCGTGGCTCCAGCCAGCACATACCCGCAGCTTGACCTGGGTCCGCTTCCGAAGCCACTTCTCTCGGGGGTTCGTGGGGCTCAGGGTGGCGGGGTCCAAGCCATCGCTCTCCTTGACGGCCGCACTCTCATAGCGCATCACCTGGTGATGGATGCCAAGCAGGGCTCCAGGTCAGGCCATCCCAACCCCTCCTCCTCCTTCCCAGGCTGTCAGGGCCCAGCAGCTGTGGCCAGAAGGCCCACCCCAAGCCTCCTCACCTCCCAGCCCGGAACCCTCAGAAGGCCGGAGACTCCAGGACCCATGTCCCTGCCCTCCTGTCCTGACTGCTGGGACCACAGCACAAGCCCACAAATGCTCTCTGGCCCGGGAGCAGCTTCTACCCTCCACACCCCAACTTAACAGCTATCTGTGTCTGCCCGCTCTCTGCCTTCCCTCCTGTGAGGTAGGTGGCCCTCACCTAAGGTGGCTGAAGCCCTGACCCCAGCCCCTCCTGCCACTCAAGGCCATTGCTCCTACAGCATTCCCTCTCAGTCCTAAGGAACTGATCAGACCCTCTCCCCTGAACCATTCTCCTTTGCATACAAGTGTGCTATCACCGCGTCACCTTAAAGAAAAAAAAAAAAAAAGAACACTCTCTCTAGGGCCCCTGGTGTCTCTCCAATGATCATCACATTCCTGCTCTTCCCTTCCCCTGAGCTCTGTCTCCCCTCCCTGCCTGCCCCCTCCCTCTGCCCACTCCAGCCAGGCTTCTGTCCCCATTGCCATTCTTCACAAAGCCCCGCCCATGACTTCCATTCTGCCCACTCCGAGGTCCTCTCTCATCCACCCTCTCTTGCTCGGCAGTGATTCCTCCTCTCTCCCTCTTGGAGCAGCCTTGAACTTCTCTATCTACGGAAAGTCCCTCAGTATCTGTGGTGGTGTGATTTATCGTAAGAAATATATATTTGTTTGTTTGCTTTTTCACCCCATTTATGGCGCAGAGCTTCTAAAATCCTTGTAATTTCCCAAGTGACGAGAGCAACAAAGGTGTCTTTTATGTTAATGAGGTGGCTTGTGGGGGGCTGGTTGCTAGGGAAACCAACCTTGTGAATAGAGGGTTTGAACTTTCAGTCCCAATCCCTCACCTCCAGAGAGGAGAGAGGGGCTGGAGGTTGGATCCGTAGCCAAGGGCCAATGATTTAATCAATCGAGCCCGGTAATAAAGCCTCCATAGCAACCTCCAAACATAGGGTTCTCAGAGCTCCTGGCCTGGGGAGCATGTGGAGATCTGGGCAGAGCAGCATCCCAGGGGAGACAGGGAAGCTCCCGACACTTTCCCATTGTCCTAGGCATCTCTTCCGTCTGCCTGCCCCTGAGTTATATCCTCTTATAACAAACTGCTGATCTAGTAAGGAAGTGCCTCTGAGTTCTGTGAGCCACTCTAGCAAATTACAGTCATCAGACCCAAGGAAGGGAATTGGGGACTTGTGATCAGTCCATCAGGAGCCCAGGTGGCAGCCTGGACTTGCGATTGGTGTCAGGTGGGCAGGGAGGGGGGAGGAGGTGGCTGTCAGTCTGTGGGACTGAACCGTTACCCTGTGGACTGAGTTATTTCCAGGTAGGCAGTGTCAGGACGGAGTTGGATTGTGAGGCACCGGCTGGTGTTGGAGAGCTGCGTGGTGCCGGGAAGAAACCACACTTTGGAATTGGTGTCAAAGTCGGAGCATTGAACCTGTCACCCTGTCGTTGGCTTTAAATGCCATCCGGGCGCGATCATCCGCATTTTTATCTCTGAGCCTGACACCTTCCCAAGCTCCAGACTTTCTACTCCCCTTCCTTCTCCACATCTGACAGGCCTCTCACCCTCCCAGGCCCAGAGACAAGACTCAGTTTCCTCGCCCCCCGTCCTGCTCCTTCCCAACCGTAGGGAATGGCACTCCTGTGAGTGGTCACATGGAACAGGACGAGTAGGCTCTCCTCTCCCTTACAGCCCCAATGCCAGCGGGGCCTGGCACCCAGCTCAGTCCCTCAGCGCCTCCACCACCAGCACCTCGGCCCGAGCTGCCCTCGGGAAGTTGGGCTCCTATTTTGCCTTCTGAAGGGGCTCATGCTTTCCCCCAACAAACGGCAGCCCTCCTCCCAAAAACACAAGGCAGTTGATATCTCCCCCTTGTTCAGAACTCTGCAATGGCTCCGGACTGGACCCTGCACAGCATCACATGCCTGACCTTGGCCATCTAGGCTGTGTGTGACCGGGGCCTGCCCCCTACCTCTCCTCCTCCTCCTCCCCCACGCTCTCTCCCTCCCTGGCCTCTGTGCCACCCACAGGCCAGGACACTGAGACCCGCCGAGAGCAGGCCTTTAGGACTCCGCTCTCCAAGTTGAAACGTGGGTCCGTTCTCCCACGCAGTTTCTATTTAACTTTCTAGAAAGTAGCAGGCCCTCAGCCAGGAGCCCATGCTCCTTACGAAGCCCGTGATCTGACTGTCGCCCTCCCACCTGGCTGAGTGCTGGGAGGACTGCGGGGCCAGCTCTTTCCCAGGCACAGAAGGCGGGCCCTGCGGCGGGCACCGAGGGGCAGTATACCTGTCTCAGGATGAAGGCCACCACGTCCGTGGACTCCCAGTAGCTGGCGTGGAAGAGGTGGGGCAGCGCCACGGTAGGAAAGGCGGTGAGGACGTCGGGGCAGTACAGGGCGTAGTCGATGCGCTTGGCACCCCACCACTTGGCCGTGACTGTGGGGCCGAGAGGGAGGTGAGGATGGAGCAGACCGCCTGGGTCTTGACCAGGGGGCGGTGTGGGACCCCATGCACAGGAGCAGTAGTGAGGCCGGCACCCAGCTCACAATGAGCTCTGGAATGTGGCTTCTTTCCCCACCTCCCACCCTCCCCTCCACTAGGACACTTGCCGCAGGCTGGTCCCCAAAAGTGGGAACCCACAGAGGCGTCCACAGTCCCACCCCCCCCGGGCTGCCAGTCAGCAGGGTTCCCAGTGGGGAAGCTGAATGTTGGGATCAGGGCTCTGGCCGAGGTCAGAACTCAGTTGTGCCAGGAGGAATCCTGGCTCCTTCCACAGCTAGGGTCAGAGTTCTCTCTTAGGTCAGAGTTAGTGTGATTTCAGTTACCCCCCCCCCTCCCTGGCCTCAGCAGCTCTGGAGGTGGGCCAGCAGCCACCCAGAGGCAGGACCTTCTCCCTTAACCCCAGGGAGACTCCCCAGAGGACTCTCACTCACTGCAGGAGGTGCCGACGGGTGCCAGGCTGTCCGAGGATGCAGAGCTCTCGCTGTGCGAGCTGTCCTGGCTCATCCTCCGCCCCGGCCGCTGGGACCTCGGGGCCGGAGGGGGCGAGGAGGGGGCGTCCACCATTGGGGGGCTTCCCTGGGAGCCGCCCTCCAGGAAGAGGGAGCTGTGGGTGTGCAGGGCATCCGCTGGAGGGAGAACTTCACGGTCAGGGCCAAGGCTGTCTCAAACAGAGCCCCATGCTGTGCCGCCCAGCGCACGTGGGAGGCAGAGGGTCAGCAGTGACCACCCCCAGCCCTGCTCTCTCACCCAGACAAGCAACCTGCACTCTCACCTCCCGGAATCTGGCTGGGACGCCTTTCCCATAATACATCGTTGGGTTTCATGTTAGGGTCCCTCTAAGTTTTGGGCACAAGTTAGAGTCCCAACCATCACTCCTCCCCTAATAGAGCAGCCGAGGGCGCCCCTGGGAGAAGACCCTCAAACACCAGCTGGGGTCACAGGTGACCCATACCCTGTGCTCTTGTTCAAACCTCTACCCTGAGCTACAGGGACTATGGCAGAGCCCACAAGGGCATGGGCACCGCAGCTTGGAGCTGGGGGGCTCTCTGTGGGCGTGGGCATGCCCTGACCCAAGAGGGATGCATTGGAGGGTGGGGGAAGGGGGTTTTAGAGCCTCTTCTGTTGGTGGAAGCTCCTGATGAAGTGGGACTTTGGAAATTGAGTTTTCATCAAAACGGGTGGGAGGTGGTTTACCCTGAATGAGCCACAGACACAGCCTGCTCCACTCCCCCCAATCTGTCCACACCTCTGACAGGCTCAGGGGGTGGAGCCAAGGCCCGCATCTCCAAGGCCCTGACTGTCCATTACAGCCCTCCCCTTGGCCTCACTGACTTCCCCCAAACCACCTGCCCTTGCCTCTGTTCGACCTAGAAGATCTCCCAACATCCACCCCCAGCTCTTCCCAGCCGCCCAAAAGCCTTGGTCAAAGCCCCCTGTGCGTGAAGCCTGCTGGGATGAGATACCTGCTGCTCTGCACCTCTGAGTGCAGGCTGGGCCCTGGGCAACAGTGCTCAGCTGGACCTCGGACTTCCAATGAGGTCTGACAGCGCGAGTATTAGCTGGCCCCGGCCCAGGAGCTCAGCCAGGCAAGCTCGTCAGGGAGCAGAGCTTGGGTCCGCCCTAAGCTGCCTCCTACAGAGGTGGGCTGCTTGGAGAGCAGGTGGGATGGCTGTTTGCCTGCCCTCAGCACACAGCCCCTGCTCAGCTGTGTCTAGTCCCTCCATCAGCTGACAGCTCGGAGAGGCAGGACCAGAGACGGGGACCCTGGAGGGCGCCTGGCGGGGCCCAGCCTCTGGCTCAGCACACGTGCTCGCCCCCCAGGAACCTACCGAGGAGGAGGGACTGTCCGTCGCCCAGCGGGAACCTCTGGTAGCGGGGCACGCTGACGGGCGGCACCAGGTGGAACTTGGGCTCCAGCAGCGGCTCGAGCCGTGAGGCGGAGGGGTCTGCGCAGTGGAAGAAGCTGTAGACCTGGCTGCAGGCCGGACGCACCTGGAGTCCTGGGAGCGACACAGGGGAGTCCCTTGCTGGTCCCTGCTCACTCGGCTCTGGAAGGCTTCCCTGAGCATGGCTTTGCGTAGCCAGCTCCTTCACTCACAAAACACCTGGCTCCCTGCTACCTCCAGCACCAAAGCCACATGTTCAGTTTGGCATTGGAGGCCTTGCCCATCGGTCCCACCCGGGAGCACTGCTGTAGGCACCCAGATGGCACCACGGTGGCCATCTGAAACCCCCCAGCAGGCTTGTTCTCTCTGTGCCTTGGCTCAAGCTGCCCTCTTCCCAGCAGGCCCTTTGCCCTCTGTTCTCCGCCGGCCAAACCCCTTCAGTCCTCCCAGCTTTCGCTTAGCGGCTACCTGACTTATGAAGCCCACCCAGACTCTTTTCCTGAGGATCAGCTGTCCCTTCCTCCAGCCCCACTCAACTCCTAGCCCGGTGGTAGTCCTTGGTTTGCCAGAGCTGCGGTGCCCTTCTCTCACAGACCAGCAGGTGTCTCCACTGAGGCCTCCTTCCCCTCAGCATGTCTCCCTGTCCCTCTTAGGTCAGGGGACTGGACTGACCACATCCAGGGAGCCTTAGGCTTCCTTAGTGACAGCAGGGCAGCCGTGGGGTCCCCCCTTCTCTCCCCACTTCATACAGAGCCCCTCCCTGTTTCTCTGTTCTGTATCGTAGGGCGTCAGAGAGCTTTGGGACAAAAGAAGTTTGAGAGGCCCAAGTAGGCTCATCTCCAAGGTGGCTCCAGACTCTTGCATCCTCAGAACCAAGGCTTAACCGCCTGCATGTGTGTCTCAGAGGAATGAGGACGCATTCCAGGCTGTGGGCACTGCGTGAGCAAAGGCACCAAGCTGGCCTGGCTGCAGTGGGCCTGCCTGGCACTGGGGGAGGGGAGGGTGGGTGCAACCGGGCAAACGGTGACGGCTTCTCTTCCCATAGAGGACGACAACTGAACAACAGGCTCCCGGGCCAGCCCAGGGCATGTGACAAGGACAGAGACATCCACCAGAGGCCATCTCACCTTCGCTCCATCTGGGAAACCACCCTTTTCTCCCTCCTCTCCCCGCCTCCTCCTTCCCTTCTCTGTCCATTTACCCCAGTAGTTGGCAAAGTCATTCGTCAACAGAGCCAACTATCAACAGTACAACGATAGACATTTCTTTGGAGAGCCAAATTTTTTAAACTTAAATGTCTTCTAATGCCACTTCTTCAACATAGACTCGCCCAGGCCGTGGCATTTTGTGGAAGAGCCGCACTCAAGGGGCCAAAGGGCTGCATGTGGCTCAGGCGATGCAGTTTGCCAATCACTGACCTACCCCAACCCTGTGACCCAGCCTCTCCCTGCCCCCAGTTTGAGGCCCTGACACAGTGGGCTATGACCCAAAGGCACCTCAGCCCCGGGCTGTGCCACACCCACCGTCCAGCGCGGGCAGCACCGTCCTCCGCATGGCCAGGACCAGGCCAAGGGGCGAGCCGAAGAGGAAGAAGTCAGACACATTGAAGTCCAGGCGGCCCAGGCTGACTGCCCGGGGCTCGGCCTCGTCCTTCAGCATGCTCGTGTGGATGCTGGAGAGGGAGCGGGGGAGACAGAGGTGGTGGGTTAGAGAAGGGCCGTGGAAGTGAAGCATTTGCTCAGCAGGGCGGCTTCAAGTCTGGGTATGGGGAGCCCAGCCCTTCACCTCTGAAGCAGGGCCCAGAACCAGAGTCTACTTGCTGGACGCCGTCCACACAAGCTGGCAACCTCTCAGCATTGGCCACCGAGGCCTGGCTAACATTTGGCTAAGGCAGAGGTCGTCGGCCCACTGTTTCCGTCCAGGGCCAGATGGTAAATATTTTAGACTTTTGAAGGCCATATGGTCTCCATCACCTCTACTTAACTCCGCCGTGTGGCATGCAAGCAGCCGCCGATGACACCTCAACAAATCCGCGAGGTCAATGAACCTGGACCCACGGCATCTGGCCGAGAACCTGAGACCACTGAGTGTCCCGCAGACCACAGCCCTGCCCCTCGTGCCGGTTCTGTGATGGCCGCACTGAATCCCTGCTCCCGCTACCGGAGAAGCCCAGCTGGCCACTATGCAGACCAGCTGGGCAGTGTCAGCCCTGCCAGATTAGGGCTCTCGTTTGTAACTCATGTTCCAGGCAACCCGCAGACACAGATGCACACAGCTCGGTCCTCCCTTCCAACCAGCCTGCCGATGATGCAGAGCTTAAAGAGAAAACGGCAAGACACAGAGTTCCAATCACTCGCATCTCAGGCACCCATTACCCCCAAAGAGTGCGAGCTGATGGTCAGCCACAGGCCCAGAGCAGGCTGCCCCGGGAAGGCAGGAACACGGGCCTCCCCCCCTGACCTTCCAGCTGGCAGCCTTGAGTTGAAGACAATCCCGTGGGATTACGTGATGGACCAATCAATCCATAGAACTCGGATTCGTGGGACATACTCCCGTTGGGAGAGAGAGGGGATTTTAGGAATCTCCGTTGGAACAGCGTGTGAGCGAGGGTCCTGCCTGCCACACGCCTCTGCCTCTGGTGGTGTGAGCGTCTTCCCGTGGGGACGATACTGGTGTTTAACCACACACATTTCACGTACAGCGTGGTCCCTAACCACACGCCAACTACTTAATTGCTAACGAAACTGCCATCTGTCCCTGCACCAGAGGGAAAAGCGAGCTGCGTCGGACCAACTTCGGAAAGCCTCCAGCTTCTTGTCACTCCCCAAACGTGGGGTTTTCTTAAAGGATGAGCCAGAAGTGTGGAGATTTTACCTCGCAGCCCAGACGTGAAACATAACTGCTTTTCTTGTAAAGAATCGTCGGGCAGAGGGGCTTTAAATAGCCAGGGATTTAGCTACGCAGAGCCTCTGGCCTAACAATCCCTCCTTCAGGAATCCACGCAAACAAAACAGCCCTAATATGCACATGAGTGTTGATGCACAAAGGTCGTACCAGGGTGCTATTTATAATTTTGAAGAATTGGAAAAAGCCAAAGTGTCCAATGACTGGGATTAAGTAAGTGTGTCCGTTTACTTAATAAAATGTTGTTAAGACTATCTACCAAGAATTTTTATTATTTTTAAAAATATATTTTTATTGATTTCAGGGAGAAAGGGAAAGGGAGAGGGAGAAGGAGAGGGAGAGAGAGACAGAGACAGAGACAGAGAGAGAGAGAGAGAGAGAGAGAGAGAGAGAGAGAGAGAGAGAAATGATGAGAGACTCACTGATCGGCTGCCCGCTGTACACTCCCCAATGGGAATTGAGCCCACAATCTGGGCATGTGCTCTTGAACGGAATTGAACCCAGGACCCTTCAGTCCGCAAGCTGATGCTCTATCCACTGAGCCAAACCAGCTAGGGCTTTACCAAGTACTTTTAATTATATGGGGGAAATATCACACTTTATGGGTAGGTGTGTGTGTTTTTTAAAGTAAAACCAATTGCAAGGCATGTGAAATATATAAATACTGAAAGAAAATAACCCCAACATTAGCCCTGGCTCCCTCTGGGTGCTGAGATGATCCGCTTCCCAAATGCTGAGCTGGCCTCCTGCTACTTGTCACTGGGGTAAGAAAGGAGGAGGGAGCGACGGAGGAGAGCACTGAGGAGTGAGGGAAGAGGCGTTCCTTCCGAGGTGGGACTATGCTCAATACCCGTGTGTCTTCTGAGTAACGTGCAGATAGTTCAGTTAGCTGGTGTCGATGACCATGACCCTTCTAGAAGGTTCGAGGGCGGGCGGTTCCATGGAGGCCCTGGGACCGACGAGGAAAGTGTGCTGTGTCCTGGAGGCTGGGGGACCCGTGCCGAGCCCAGCTCTCGTCCCTGGCTGTGTGGTCCCAGGAACCTTCCTGACTGACTTCGCCTGCACTGCCTCGTCTGAGAAACAGTCAGAACACACGCCTGGAGTTGCTCACAAAACACACAATATACCTGTTCTTTCACCAGATTCTTAAAGACGCCAGGAAAGCAGGCTGGGCAGCATGTGCCATGTTGCAGAAGATGGCTATCCCCTCCCTCTGAAAGTTGGGGGTGCAGCAGAGACAGAGTCCAGGGCCCAGGGTCTCAGCCCAGGGCCCATTGGGAGCAGCCTTGAGCTCAGGCTTGTCTCCGGGGGCCCCAGGAAAGACCTGGGACATGTGACTGGTCCTAAGCCACCCCGAGGATGCTAAGCCAAGGTGCTCTCTGCTCTGGATGCTTTGCAGGAAGGAAGATGGGACACGGGGAATGGTTACCTTGATAGGAAGGCATGATGCTGGGTGATGGCCTCGCAGTCATAGGTGGAGGAATCGCTCTGTTTCCGTGGCAACGGCCTCTTGGGCTCCTCATCCTCCAACACGCTGGAGATGTCAATGCTGCTTTTGCTGAGCCGCTTGCTGCTGGCCAGACTGCACTCCTCCTCCACCCCGGGGGTGTCCTGTGGGACCGAGGAGAGGGCAGGAGGGCACTGCGGTCATGGTGGGACTCTGGGGCCCTACCTCCTCCCCAGGCACAAGGAACCCCTTTCTCCTAGTCGTGAGAGGCCGTGCATCTTCCAAAAGAAGCTTGAAAGCCACCACACGGTAGTGGTGGGAGTCTAGTCACAGGGCTGTCCTCTGCCCCCAGAGGGATTGGCGAGTTAAGTGGGACTCGGGGCAGCTACCTGGGGGCCCGACCCCAAATTAGCCCCCCTGGACCTCAGTTTCCTCCCCTGTGATAGTAATCTCTTGCTACTCCTGTAAGATTGCGACACAATATACACTTCGTGACCTGGATTTCACGGGTTCACAGTACTGCCCTCCGAGAGGCCCCCGCTCCCCAGATCAGACCCTCCACCGCTCCCACCCTCGGGCCGCACCTGGGTGCTGCTGACGCTCCCCTTCCGGCTGCTGCTGCCAGGGCTGTCGCCCGAGGGCCCCGCGCTGTAGCAGATGGCGTCAAAGGCCAGGAGGCCCCCCACACAGTCCCCGATGAGACATACCTGCAGAAGGCACAGCTGGGACTGCAGGCCTGGCCACCGCTGCCCCCTTACTCCAATGCATCCAGTGCTCCTGGATAACAAGGAGCCTGTCCCAGGAGGCCTGAGAGAGCTGCATTAGGGAAGGGGTGCACATTCTGGGGCCAGGGTCAGCTGAGGACAGGACCAGGCTAGGGTGAGGGGTCAGACTGGGGTCAGGATCAACCTGAGGACAGGGTCAGGCCAGGGTGAGGGGTCAGACTGGGGCCAGGGTCAACTGAGGACAGGACCAGGCTAGGAACCAGGGGTCAGACTGAGGCCAGGGTCAGCCTGAAGCCAAGGATCAGGCATGGGCCAGGGCTCAGCATGGGCTCACAATCAGAACTCAGATGTTGGCCTCACTCTTCCTATCTGTGAAATGGGACCAAATCCAAAGATTTTTAAAAGCCTTCTTGGATCTCAGACACCATGCTCCTGAGCAGCCTGGTCTAGATCCTTTGGGCAGATTCAAGCCTCATTCTGGGTGGGGCCAAGGCAGGAAGGTGGGGGCAGCCGTCCTACCTGCCCACTGAAGCCAATGCCATCCGGGGACTTGAGGAACTCTGCGTAGACCTGGTTGGCTTGCTCAATGACGGTGGCAACCGCATCCTGGTACTGTGGGGAGGAGATGGCCAACAGGGGCAGCACGGCCAGAGGGACGTGGTCCTGGCTGTTGCTGAGACAGCCCTCATCGTGGCTGCAGGGATTCAGGCTGTGGACAGGGGGCCAAGGTAAGCCCAGCTGGGGTTAGGCAGGGGGCGGGTTAGAGGCTTCGGACTGGGCAGGAGAGAGCACGTGCTGACCAGAAACGGGGCTTTCCCCTCCAGGCTCCCCTGTGCCCACCCCGTGCCAGCCCGTGATGTGGGCCCTGGAGTCTCCTGTGACAGCATCTCTCTCTCCTGCCCTGTTCTGCACGGCACCAAAGAACCCCCATCACGAAAGACGCCATTGGTGTGGATGTGGGTGGGGCCTATCATCCTGGCAGACTTCCCAGTGCAAGTGGGGTCTGACTAGGTCTCCCGGAAGGCTTTCGGGAAACTCGAAAGTAAGAGAGAGGGTCGCCAGGCATGCTGCAGCTTGGGGTGGGCACTAAGCTGTGTGCTCAATAGTGTGCCCATGGTCCAGCTGCCCACCCCTGCCCCAACCTCCCCCACACACACCTGTCCTGCCTCTGTCCCCTGGGGCAATGGACCCAGCTGCCAGCAGGGACCACACGGGGAGGAATTGCCCAACGGCTGCCCAGCCCCTGCCCTTTCCCCATGGCCTAAGCTCAGGCTGCCTGAGGTTGAAACCGGGGACAGGCGACAGGGCTCAGGGACCCTGGGCAGGTGACAGAGACCTCAGGGCGGGCCAGTCCAGCCCAACAACCATCCCTCATCTCCAAAGAACACAAATGAGAGGAAACAGGCCTCGATGGCAGCGGAGAGATTTTAATTAGCTGAGAAAGAGCTCTCTCCCAGCAGTGATTAGGGCTGATGGATGGGCTGGCAAGGCGCTGCCTGGGGGGGGGGACGGACACTCCCTCCCGCTGTCCCCTCCAGTGGCCAGGCCATCCATCTTACTGGCCATCAGGCCTGCGCTGGGTCACCCAGCTCTGGGGGTCAGATGTCCTGGGGGCGCGGGGTTTGGGGGAATCCTGAGACTGATTGTGAATGAGCCCAATTAACTTCGGCTGCTGGAGTGTGAAGGGAACGGAGCCACGTCAGCCCGGCTCCCCGGTCCTGCCGCAGAGCAGACTCAGCCGATTCATCTGCGGAAGAAGCAGAGTCCAGGGCCCTCCCTCGGGGTGAGGCCTGCCGCCCTGTGGCTTCACAAGCATCACACGGGGGTGGGAGCCCTTCGCCAGGCTGCGGAACAACGGACCCCATCGCCTGCCTTCCTTGCCACCCTGATTGAGATGGGCCCTGCCCTGACCTAGAGCACAGATCAATCAGTCAGACAGGTCTCTGCTCCCCTGTCCCCCTCTCCCCCCCCTCATCCCCTCCCCTGCAGATGCCAACTTCCCCTTCTCTCAGAGACCAGAGGAGGGAGGCCTGCACGCCCTGCACAGGTGCTCCCCACCCACAGGACACTCCTCCTTCCCTCCCAGCACTGCTGAGCCCTGCCTGGGCCACAGCTGAGGGAGGGGCTGGGACGCCCTGCCGCCCTGCCCGCCCTGCCCGAGCCCCACCTGGCGAAGGGCTCCTCTCTGTGAGGCCCTGGGTGCTGGCAAAGTTGACATGAAGGGAGCGAGGGCAGCAGAGAGATGCCCGGCCTCCCCTTCCCCCTTAACTGGTCCAAGCTCTCGGCTGCCAGCCCGTTTGCCTCGTGCTCTATCAGACCCGGGCCCTACAGGCGCCGCCTCTGTGCCCACGTTAGCTGTGTTCCTACAGGGCAGGGACCTGGGAGCAGAGCTTTCCGGTCCCTGGTCTCCCTGTTAATCCCCCAGGTTTGGATGAGGAGCCCAGGCCTGGTAAGCTTGCTGCCTGACCCCCGCCCTCCGGGCTCTCTGACGGCAGTCAGACACACTGCCCTCCCCAGCCCCTGTGCACCAATGGGAGAGCGCTCTCTCCCTGTGAGGACAGGGTGTGAGTCACAGCACATCCTACGTGTGCTTCCCAAGTGCCCCACGCCTAGGCTGGCACACAGACGCCTCGGAAAATCTGGGGGGCTATTCCCCAGAGTATCCCCAAGGTGCAGACGAGGAAACAAGCCGGGAAAAGCTAACTGCCTTCCTGCAGGTCACACAGCTGGAGCTCACATCCGGGCCGACCAAAGAGCCCGCGCCCTTACCTATGCTATGCTACTCCCGCAGCATACCCAAAGCCAGCTCCCCCGGGCGCCACCCTACCCTCTTCCTGAGGGTCCCTGGTGCCCTGTGCCATCTCCGTTAGAGCACACACACATACCCCCTGGGCTCTAATGGCAGGGCCTGGGAGCGAGGCTGCCTGGGGCTGACTCCAGGCTCCGTTCACTGGGTGGCCCTGGGGGCAGTGGCCTTGCTTAACCTCTCAGTGCCTCAGCTCCCTTGCCTGGGCCCAGGAGACCACGGCCTGTGAGCACAGGAAGTGGATCTGAGCCACCAGCGCCACCTGGTTCCGGCAAAGGAGGACACGGTGTACAGGGCTCATTGCCGGGGACTCTACTGACTCCCTCCCATGTGATGCTCATGGTCAGCCAGGACCTGGCATCCCAGAGAGGCCTGGGCAGGTATGCCCCTGCCCACCAGAGCCCACATGGCAGGGGGCAATCCCCTCACTTAATCCCCTCCCCCCTCCCACTACCACCACCAGCGCCAGCCAGTCCCAACAAGCAGAAAGGGACTCACTTGGAGACCAGCGAGATGGCCTCGGAGCAGATGGCAGGACAGGGGACAAACTTGATGAGGATGTGGCCCAGGGCCGCGGGGAAGTGGGCGCGGGTGACCTTCTCCAGCACGGAGCTGAACGTGTGGATGTCGGCCGCCTTGCAAGAGGGGTCCCCCGAGCCCGTGTCCAGGACGTTTCCCCCGTGCAGCACCAGCAGCAGGACCTGCGTCTTGCAGGAGCGCTGTGAGAAGACTTCCTGGAAGGGACATCGGTGGGGACAGAGAGACAGGCAGCAGGAGGACAAGGTAACACAATGAAACACACACAGACACACACACACACACACACACACACACACACACACACACGGGGTGGGGGGTGGGGGCTGCAGCCAGAGAAGTGGGCACTGTGCCCAGCCTGCCTCAGCTCCAGGTCAGGGACTTCCCCAGCCCCCATATGATGAGGGGCACAGGCTACCAGGAGGGCTGGAGGGACCCCAGGAGGCCCTGCTGGTTCACATAAGAGCCAGAAGCCCAGGCAGGAAGGCATGCTGCCCAAGGTCACACAGCAAGCCCGGTGAGCCGGTTGGACACCGGGCAGCCTGTGCACCAGGCTCTGCCTGACGTCCTGAGCACACAGCTGGGCCCAGGCAGCCTGGGAAACCCGCCTACCTCGCTGTCTTCGTGGATCTCAATGCTTCCTTGGGCCGGGAACTTCTGTCTTCTCAAGGACACCCGGTACAGCTCTCCTGCGGAGAACAGAGCAGCGCTCAGCCGGCGGGAAGCTGGGCCCACAGGCCGTGGAACCATAGCGTGGGAGCTAGGGCGGCACCCTGGCCAGCCCTGGCCTCCAAGCCAAACCCAACGTGAAACCATCTCCTCCAATAGAGCGGAAGCCCAGCAGGACGAGGCCGCATCATGGTGCTGTCCCAGGGCCAGTAGGGCCACCCTAGGAAGGAACCACAGTGCCCTGCTGTCTTTCCTTCACTGACAGCAGCAGCGTAAGGGTCGTCGATGATCTCCACTTCCTGTATTAGACGGAAATGTGGGCCAAGCATCCTTCTGAAAACAACCACAGCCCGGCTGGCGTGGCTCAGGGGTTGAGCGATGACCTATGAACCAGGAGGTCATGGTTCAATTCCCAGTCGGGGCACATGCCCGGGTTGTGAGCTCCATTCCCAGTGTGGGGCGTGCAGGAGGCAGCCAGTCAATGATTCTCTCTCATCATTGATATTTCTCTCTCTATATCCCTTCCTCTCTGAAATCAATTTAAAAAACCTACACACACACACACACACACACACACATATATATATATATATATATTTGTTTGTTTTTTGTGTGTGTTTTTTTTAAACGGACCACACAGTTGCTGAATTTTAAAAAACTGAATATGTTTGAAGCTGTCAGAGGCCTTGAATTATGGAAACCCCATGCAGGGAAGACGGCTCCTCAGAGAGACAAGGCCAGCATTGGGGGCCACACTCATGGCCACTCTTCCCCTCGAGCTGTGGGGGGCAGCCAGCGCTGCCAGAAATGTTCTCCTTGCTCCCCCCAGTTGCCTGGCTCAACGCCCCCACCTTCAGGAAGAGCTTCTTGGCATCCAACCCTCCCTGATCTCTCTTTCCTCCAACACAGACACTACACTCATGGGCCAAATCTGGCCCATTGCCCGTGTTTGTAAATAAAGTTTTATTGGAACACATCCATGCCCATTCATCTGCGTATTATCTGTGGCTGCCTATGTGCCACAGACTTTAAAGCCCAAAAAGACTAAAATATTTACTGTCTGGCCCTTTAAAGGAAAGTTTGCTGACCCCTGATCTAATGCCTGAATATCACTGCTTTGGACTCTCAGGTGCAGAGAGACCTCAAAGACATCCAGCAGCCCCCTCACTGCCTACGAGAGAGTGAGGAGTCCTTCCTTCCATCCAGCTGACCTCGTTCCCCTTGGACGGATACTCCCTTCTCTGTGTGGCTGAGCCTCGCAGCTGGACTGTGGACCACTCGTTTGCCTTCAGTGACAGGGAGTTCATCTCTTAAAGCAGCCGGTTCTAGGCAAGGATGGCCCTTTCCTTCTTCTCACTTTACCCCCATGCCTGCTGAGAGCCTACTGCACACTCCCAGGAAGCACCTTTGGGGAGGGTCCTTCCCAGGGGGCTTTGCAGGCAACCCTGTGACCCTGTGGCAGGTGGGCTGGTGTGGGTGGGAGCCTGGCCAACGTGTGCCTGTGTCATCATCTCCTCATCCACTCCTGGCCCCGGGGAAGGGTGCATCTGCCAGGAATCCCCAGAGAGGAGCTTTGCTCAGCAGGGAAGTGCATTTTTAAATCATCTGTCCTCCCAGGCGCAGCCCTGGTCTAAGGACAACTGCTTTATGAGTTCGGAGCTGCCGCCCACACAGACAGGAAATCATTTTGTAAGTGATAGAGGGCTTTGGCTTGGAGGAGGAAGAGGAAAAACTTGTTCTGAGGCCTGGCTTTGCCCAGTGCTTTCTAATGCTCCTTCCAGGGGCTCCGACTCTCCTGCCCTATTTCTAACATCCTGACCTCACTCTGGACCTGGCCAGAGGACATCTGGGCCCTGCTCTTGAGACAGCATCAAAATGAACGACAGCAGAAGATGACTCTGTTTGACCAAGGACGTATGTCCCAGGCACTGTGTGCTGCACAGGGATCATCTCATTAGTCCCCACAAGTAACTTCTGGGTTTTGGTCCTCTTGTGATCACCCCATTTTACAGATGAGAAAACTGAGGCTCAAACAACCTAAATCCCTGGCCACACAACTGAGAAGACTGAGCGAGCTGGCACATGAGCCCAGCGAAGAGTGCCCCACACTCAACAGAGGACAATGCTTGACAAAGTGTTCCCTCATCCATCTGATATCCACGGCTTCCTGGGGAGGTGGACACGGAACTCCGCATTCTGCAGAAGAAACAGGAGCACAAATCCATACGCGACACCCCGGGGACTGAGGCCCCGTCTGCCATGGGGACCAGTTCACCAGCAGGAGAGGAAGAGGCCAGGAGGGGAGCCGGGCGTGGCTTTGTGTGTGCAGCCCCGGGTGCTGCTGAAGGGCAGGCGCCCGGGAGAAGCCAGGTGAGACCGTGAGTGTGGAGCCTGGGAGGGCCCTGATCTGGGGCTAGAAGAACCCGTTGGAAACCATGGCCTTTGGAGCCAGAACACCTGTGTTCAAATCTTGGCTCTGACCAGCTGTGATACCTGCACCTCCGTTTTCTCATCTGGAATATGGGGATGATACTTGTGGTGACCTCCTACCATGGTGATGAGGATCAGCGAGGTCATGCACAGGAAGGGCTTAGAATGGGAACTGGAACACAGTAAACGCCATGTATGTGATTATTATTGTTATCATAATTACTATTATCATCCAGGGAGCATTGGGGGGCTTAGCTGATAAGATGGGGCCAACCCTGGCTGGTATAGCTCAGTTGGTTGAGCATTGTCTCACGCACTGAGAGGTTGTTGGCTCAATTCTAGGTCAGGGCACATGCCCAGGTTTGGGGCTTAATCCCTAGTAGGGGGTGTGTAGGAGGCAGCCAATCCATGTTTCTCTCATCAATGTTTTTCTCTCCCCACTCCCTCTCTCTTCCTCTAAAAGCAATAAAAGCATATTAAAAAAAAAAAAAAAAAAAAAAAAAAAAGATGGGGCCGGAGGCTGATGGGGACATTGCTGCCTTCACTCCCCTGCCTGTCCCCAGCCTCCCTGAGCTTGGCAGGCTCCGGGCCTCGCTGGGCTGGGTGCCTGCTTGCACCGGGGAGCCTGCGTGCCATGTGATTACAGGATAAATACTGTGATTGCCACAAATTGCCACAGTGAGGCTATAAATAAGTCGCAGGGAAGACAGGAGGGTCCTGCCATCTCGCGGGGACTGTGCCCCCCGTGAAGTGGGGGCTGCATCCTGCACCCTCACTGATTACACAGACGGGGGCGCACCCACTCCTTGACCGGCCTGGCTCACTGCTTTGAAGCCCAGCTCCTTTGGGGCCCAAGCGATGCTCTGGGCATCAAATCGGTGGACAAGTGCTGTATCCTGGCTGCAAACACTGCTGAGGCAGTTCCTGGCTCGGTGGGGATGGGAGGCCAGGTCCCAGCCCATCAGACCTAGGCTCTGGCCCCTACAGAGCCGACTGCCAGGACCAGAAAGGTACGTCCCCGTCTTCCCAGAAGCCCCTGCAGACGAGCAGAGAGGCCGCCCAGGCCCCCTGCCTGTCCCTCACCCACAAGGCTCTCTCTGCTCTTCTAAGAACCAGACATCCCGCCACAGCCACTGCGGCCAGAGGCTCTGACTCACCCGCAGGACATCACTCCTGCCCTGCGCCTGCCCTTGCCTGCCCTGAGCCCTCTGCCTGGTAAGCCCTGCCTCCCTTTGCAGCCCTCAAAGTCTCACCTGTCCTCAGAGCCCTGCTCAGCTGTCAGCGCCTCCGGAGAGCCTGTCAGCTCTCCCTCAGCAGAGGTGGCTGCCCAGGACATGGCGAGCGGGGCCAGGCTCGTTGCTGTGAGATCACCTGTCTGTTTCCCTCTCAGCCCGGGGCCCCAAGACAGGCTGCAGTAGCTGCCAGGGCTCAGGGTGGCATTTCTGTGAAAACTCATTACAAGTGAGGATCCAGGGTGCCCACCGCCTGGGAGGCAGCTCTGGGCTGTCCAGCCCCAGGAGAAATTTGGTTCAGGGCAACATCGGCCACTGGGAAGATTCCTCTTAAAAGTCCCGAGGGAAAGGGTACTGGGAGCCTCTGGGAATTCTAGAACTCCGCATCTAGGGGCTTCCCCAGGGCCTCTGGTGACAAGATCCGCTGGCCAGGATCCTGGGCGGTGGGAGCCACATGTCGGGGGTGGCCCACGTCCTGTCCATGACTGTCTGCTGGTTCCTATTCAGGCTGGTCCCTGTGTGCCCAGATATGGGCTGCGGCGGGGAGGAGGAGGCACAGCTGTTTTGTGACAGCATTTTGTGACAGCTTTGAGGTGGGCCAGCTACCACCACGCTTGCTTCCAGCACCCCTGCCAGTCCTGGTGCTGGGATCGGTGGCCCACCCAGCTCACCCTGGCTCCCCCTGCCAGCTGAGGAATAGAGGCTGTTTTTGCTTAATCACTACCTTGGAAAGACACAAACAGTGATCATCTCTTCTCACCATGGATGTGCCATGACTGCTCCTGAGACAACAGCCAAGGTCGTCACCCACACACCCAGCACCCTAAGCACAGTCGCCCGGCTTGGCCCAGTCCCGCTGTCTCCATTCTCCCCTGCCCCCTGCGGCTGGGACCCTGGAGCGGTGGATGCTGGGGTGCCCCCTAGCTGAAACACCACTCCATTCGCCCTCCATTCCGCCAGCCCCTGCAGGGCCCCATTTCCATGAATCACCCCTGTGATCAACTGGGCCAGCTTGGGACTGTGGGGCATGTCCTGAGCTGCATGGACAAAGCACCGGAGCCTCTGTGGGCATGTGGAAGCACAGGCCCTGGCCTAAACCATCTTGTGTTTGAACCCAGTGGCTTTGCTCTCCTGCTCGGTGTGGGTGCAAGAGGTATACACTGAGTGGCCAGATTATTAGGATCTCTGAACGCATAATAATTATCTCTGAACACATAATAATCTGGCCACTCAGTGTATATCCTATATAATAAAAGGCTAATATGCAAATTGTCCCCTCGACCAAGAGTTTGACCAGCAGGCAGGCGGGCCAACTGCCCATGTCCCCTCCCCCTGGCCAGGCTGGCCGGACCCCACCC